CAGAAACTGAGAGTGTCCCACAGGCTCTGGGCTAGTGTTGGTGCTGCTCAGAACTGGGGAGTTTGTGTGAAAGCTGCTGCTCTCAGGGCACAACTGAACTTCATCCTGGGTCCCATGGGACACATTTGGTGCCTGGCATTCCCCTGAGGGGCAAAGAATCAGTGCTGGAGCTTGGTTGGAGCCAGGGGAGGTGTTCGTGTCCCTCTGAAAGGAGGTGTTCAGTGACAACAGCAGTCCCTGGAGTCCCAGCTGGGCTGTTCTGCTGTGCCTGTGAGCAGTGCCCTCAAGGTGTGACGGGCAGTGCCCTTGTGGTGGCATGGCAGCAGGGCCTGGAGGTGGCATTGCCTGTTCTGGTGGATCTCCTGTCAGGGAACTGCAGATAAAACCACAACACGTGGAGCAATTTCCCTTCATGTCAGGGTTGTGCTTTGGGTGCAGGAACAAACTCTGGGTCTGGGTGGAAAGGTTCAAAGGAATAGTTGGAATTTTGATGTTGCTTTTTGCTTACTTCTGAGAGGCTCAGGTTGGGAGGGGCCTTTGGAAAGCTCCTTGTTCATCTTTAACCAGATGAGCACAAGGTCAGTTGTTTCTGACAATATCCATTGTGTTGGGAGCATCTGTCCCAAAACGGAAGGTGCAGCTTCCTGGGTTTGGACTGTCCAAGTCTGCTCAGGATCCCTTGGGAGTTCCTTGGCCAGGGCCTCAGGTGCTGTGAAACCTGCTGGGACAGTGGGTGGGAGAATCTTGGCTTTGTGGCAGATCTGCATCCTCTGCCACCCCACTTGAGCCAATCTGAGTGGAGCAAAATTTTTTTTAGAGGGGGCTTCTTGTGAAGAAACCATAATGGTGTTCTTTGGCCTAAAAGCGTGCCGGGTGTTGCCTCCAGTGGCTGTGCAAAACCACGAAACCACCTTATTTAAAAATTCACTCACTGTGCTGTCCCTGGGGAGCGAGGAGGGGCTGCTGGCTGGGCTTGTTCTGGGGACATCTCTGCTCTGGGACTGTTGCTTCTGCCAGCACAGGAGCAGGGCCACCCCATGGAGCTGCCCTTTTGTTTTTCTGCAAGGGTCCCTGCCTGTACCTTGAACAGGACTCGTGTAACCTCTGCTTGGGGCACAGCAAAACTGAGGGGGAGCCAGAGGATGCTCTTGGGTCAGACTGTTCTTTTCATGAGCTGCTGGAATGTGGGACATGAGTGGGTGTGCTTAACTCCTGCCTGGTGCAGATGGCTGTACAAGTGTGCCAGAACTACAGTGTTAAATTCTGTATCCTCTGGAACTGAGGGCTCTGGATCTGCCTCCAGGTCTCCCACTGTGACTGCCTTTGAGCAGAAACACTTAATTCTGCAAATTGTCCCAGTGCCACAGGTGTCACTGACCTTTGGTGCTGTGCTGTGGTACCTCTTTGCTGAAAGTGCTGTGTGGGGGTAGTTCTGTATTGCTGTTTAATGAGATTGCTTCTAGGAATTGGAATAGTTCACTTCTAGGAATTGGAACACAAGGAAGATCTCCAAAGTGCAAGAATAAGGGAGTGATAAGTCTTTTGACCCCTTTAAAATTCCAAACCAGTAATTCTGCACACTAGTAACTGTGCTGATCTTTAGCTGCCTGTTCCTGGATGTTGAGTGCTGCCTGACTTTGGCATGATGAAATCGGGAGAGTTTCCTGATGGAGTAGCTTCAGACTCCAGGAATTTTTTTGCCTCTCCTGACTTTCTTTTTGGGCTATGCTCCAGAACTAAGATCCTCACCATTGTGGTGACTGCTTTGCCTCTTGGAATAGGGAGTAAATCTTTCCTAGTTTTCCACTTAGTTATTTCAGTACTCTGCCACTTCAGGGCACTGTTTTCCTTGGAAGCTGGGGAAGCTCCAGGTGCCACGGCTGTCACTGGGGTAAAGCTCTTTCACGTTGCTATCTGAATACCTGCAGAGTGTATTCTTGGGGTACTGAGTGATGAGAGGTTTTATTAAGGTTCTCCCTTTTGAAAAAGATCCTGAATATAGTTTGGAGTCTTTTTTAGTATGTATATCTGACCCTGGAATCAAATACTACATACTGGTGTTGTACAGGGGTAGGGAGAATCCTCATCTCCAAGCTCCAGCTTCTGTAAAGATCTCTGCTGTAAAGCTCATGGCTGTTTGCAGTGGGCATTCCTTAAACCTGAGCACTCACTGAAAACCTGAGGGATGCTTCCCCAGGGAGTAAGACCCAGATCTGGGAGTCTGGAAGGGGAGGGGACAGGAGCTGTTGGGTCTCAGGAGAGGCAGATGTTGGGAAATGTTCCCTCTGCAAAAAGGGCATCTCTGCAGAGGGCTTGTGGGGCTTTGTTGTATCAATCCAAGCAAATCATCTGCCATGAACGGGTCTGAGACCCCACAGAGATTCGCCAGGGCTCCAGACCCAAAGGCACTGCGTCAGTTCAGTGAGATTTGTCCTTCACCCTCCTGCTGTCACCAGCTTGTGGAGTGACCCCTTTTCTGTAATTGCATCCAGGCCTTTTTCCCAGGGCTGGTCTCTGATCTCAGACCTGCCAAAGCCTCCAGCAGTACTGGCAAACTGAAATTCCCTGTGGTCCTGAAAGTCAAGGACACCTCTGCAGTGCTGGTTTGCAAAGCCTGTGGTTACAACTGCTTATGGGACCCTGGACTTATCTCGTTACCTCTTCCCTGACCTTCACACACATGGTTTTGGTTTGATGGGGTATTTCGGTATCAGTGTAGTCCAAACCCTTTTTTATTGTGATACTTACAGCTAGAGAGGGGATGTCTGAGTCACACAATCAGACATTAAATAAGGTAAAATGCTGGTATGATGCTGTCTTCTTTGTTGTAATGATGCTGCTGTAGCTCCTTTTGGGACCAAGGAACATGGTAAAGAAAAGCAGCTGCAACCACTTACCGTGGGAGGGGTCTGGAAGTGCCAGATCTCCCTGGTTCAGCATTAAAGAAACATTCCCTGGCAGTGTAGGTCGTGCTCCTGCCTTGTCAGTGAGTCCCCAGTCTCCCAGGGACTATCCCTGTGTCTGGCTTTGTTGTGTTCGGGTCACTGTGGCCATTTCCTGGCGGTGCCACTCAGCAGCTCTGACTGAAAGCAGCTCCTGCTAAAGCATCACTTAGATTCTGTCTCCCAGAGTAACTCATTGCTCCTGTGCTGGCCTTGGCAAGGGAGAAAAGTGCTGCTGAGCATTTGATGCCCTTCTCACGTGAAGAGAGAAGAGAAAAAGTAATTTTTCCCAGAACAGGGCAATCTGCTTCTTGTGCAGTGTCCCCACATTCAGAGCTGCATGTTGCTTAAGCAGATGGGTTTAGATCCTGTCCTCCCTCTCCTACTCTGTCCCAAATGTAGTGACTTGTGGGGGCACAGACACTTGCTAATGCATGTCAAAAGAAAAGAAAATTCCACCCTAATGTGCTGTTCTTGTGCAGAGTGGGCCCTTGGTCTGCATGACCATGCTCTCCATGCTGAATGCCTTTTTCCTGGATCAGTGTGGACTGGGGGATCCAGAGGTGTTTACATGATGTGGCAGCTGGTCTTGCTCTGGCTCAGCCTGTGTCTCAATGCCACAGTGACCCCTGGACCAGCCTCCTGGGAGGGAGCTCCAGCGGAGCCCTGCTGCTCCTGTAATCCCAGAGTGGCACCTGAGGGAAAACCAGTGTGGACAACACGGGCTGCAGGAGAGAGGGGATTTTTGTAGAGCGACTGGTCAAATGTTCACATAGCTATGCTGTCTTTATTTAGCAGTGTGATGTACCCAGGTGAAGAGCCTCCCAATAAATACTAGTTTTGGTGCCTAACGAACGGCTGCTGTGTCTTTACTTGTGAGCAGTGACGAGAAGGGGATCATTTGTGTATCCATGGGTGTGATGGAGAAGCAGTGACTGAAGGCTGTGATGGATGTGTAAAAATGAACACTTACCGTGGGCAGAGTTTTCCCTGGGTGAAGTTCTGACACTGCAGGATGTGTTGGTTGGTGCCTTGCTGACCCTGGGTACCAGCCAGCCTCCTCACCCTCCTCCTACTTGCCGCAATTCCTACTGTTTTAGTTTTCATGTGATTTTCTCCTATCCTCTTGCTAACGAATCCAATGACACACTTCTAACCTGCCAGTAGTTCTGTGAAGGTAAGAGATCTTCTGTTTTGTCTGTGTGAGTCCTAAGGCAAACCCAGCCTCCTGATGGGCTCTTGGAGCTGGAGAAAGGCAGGATAGCCTCTCCCTGCACTGGTTGTTATGCTAATGCAGAAACAAGCCAGGTCATTGGGGCTTTGATCCTTGATTTGAAGTCATGGTATGCAGTGTTAAAAAAACATTTGTCTGGCAGTGGTTAAAAAGAATGGCTGCTACTAAAATAGCTGCTACTTAGGATTCACTAAAAGCTGTAGGCTGACCTTCAGTCTTTGAAATGGGCCTGTTATTTTAGCAGGTTTTGGGGCATCCCCACTCGTATATGTGGGCTGGCTCACAGGAAGAGAGAATTTACCAAGCAATAGATGTGCTTGGAGAGCAGCAATGCAGGATGGAATGACAGAGCTCTGTCTGCTGGAAGTTCCCTCGGGCAGCAGCGTTGGGAAGGGAAACCCCCTGTTCTGGTGGCTGCTGTCATGGGTGGGTGGGAGAGAAACCTGGTGGGATGGTGCTGAGGGTGCTGTGTGTGCCCATGCGTGTGTCAGACATCTCCCATCCTCTGAGCAGTGGTACTCACAGTGTCCCTGGGCCGTGTCGCAAGCACCTTCCCTGGCATTATTTTTTCATTGATTTGCCTTCCCTGTCCTGCCCATTTTCCATGCATGGTGGTGGTTTCCATCTGAGCAGCGTGACACTCTCGTGCAATGTACCTTTCGTTGTGACTGCTGACTGAGGAGATGGAGCTGGTTCACTAACACTCTTCTCTTGTGTTTGTAGGTCTGCACAGGGATCCGGGCCGGTTCCCAGCTGTAGCTTTTGAGCTCTGTAAAGGAGATTCTGGCAGTGATGGACTCGCTTTGTACAAGGGTCAGCCCGAGATGCTGGAGGTGAAAGTGCAGCACAACTCAGAGTCAGAGTACTTGGCTAGAGATGGTCCTTCAAGCAACAGCTCCTTCTACAGCAGTGAAGGAGAGGGGACAGACCATGAGGGAGATATTCTGGATTGCAGCGGGTCCAGGCCTTTACTGATGGATTCGGAAGAGGAGGAGGAGACATGCAGGTTGTGCCCAGGGTTCCTGCAGCCTGTGCCCAGGCACGAGGCCTCCAAAGAAGATCCCCAGTCCCAGGCCAGAGCAGGGGAGGCGCTGTTCCCAGCCTTCCAGTCACACACCGGGGAGGTTTTTAACGAACCTGATGTGTTTGCCACTGCTCCTTTCCGAAGCTCCAGGAAGGTGCCTGATGAAGTGGATGTCTTTACGAAAGCTCCTTTTATCTGTAAGGGTAATGCAGCCCTACGACATCCAGAGGAAGCAGATGTGTTTCTGAGAGCCCCTTTCACTAAGAAGAAAAGCATGGAAGAGCTGACTTCCCACAAGGAGCCATTCACACCACCCATTTTCCTGAGCCAAGGAGGCGATGACCGGGCACAGCCGACGTTCCCGTGCCTGGATTCAGTAGCTCACGGCTCTGTGGCCTCGGTGAGAGCTCCACATCCTTCTGCTGGCTTTGCTCAGCCAGGCAATCTCCATCCCTGCTCTGTCAGAGCCGTGGAGGCCCAGGAGAGTGTCCCTGCTAAAGCAGCGCTGCCAGAGCAGGGCGACGTGGCTGGCAAGAGGAGCCACGGCCACACGCTGCCCGCGGATGCCGCGCTGGGCTCCGTGGCCAGCAAGCCTTTCTGTCCACAGTCCCTGTCCAAGTATTCCCGGCACTACAGTCCCGAGGATGGGCCGGGCCTCGAGGCCAAGCCCATAGCTGCTTACAAAGTGGTGTCTCAGACCAACAGACAGGCCATAGCAGGGTCTGTCTCAGTTGTCCCACTGTCTTCCAGGACTATGGAGCTGCCCAGCACAGATCCCTTCGCCTTGGCACCCTTCCCCTTCAAAGCAGCAAAGCAGAAGCCTTAACGTGCCTGGAGCTGGGGGCTGTGCTGCCTGCAGGACCACCTCGTGCAGGACCTCAAACCTCTTAGCTGAACTGAATGACATAGCAATATATACATACATATATATATATATATAAAGAAATTATTATTTTTGGTCAGAACTCTATTTGCAGTGATACATAGTTGAACCATTTAAGTTATGTTCGTCTGAATGCCTGGCTCTCAGGACCCTCGTATCCTTTCCAGTTGCTTCTCATGTTCCTCCTTTCACTGTCTTCTCTCCATTTATTTCTTTTTTAGATGCTTTTCTCAAACCAGCAGTATTGCATATTTTCTGGTCCTGGGTAGAGAAATGCACTACAAGATAAATTAAAAGGTTTATTAATTACAGAGTGAGTCAAGCGGGACTTGCTAATGCTCTGGAAAGGACATGATTTTCCAGGTTAAAGGGTTATTGTGACTTTTGCTGTCAGTGATATTCCTGCTGCTCAGCAGCAGTGGCAGTCATGGCTCCAGGTGTGCTGGTGGGTGATGTGCCCAGGGAGCCAGAGCTGTGCCATGATGTCTGGGGCCAGTCTGGGCAGCGCTGGTGAGAGCAGAGCCAGGGCAGCAGTACAGCTTTTCTCCCCCAGGACTGGAACGTGTGCTGCTGCCCCAGGCTGGGGCCAGAGGCAGGGAAGGATCACGGTGCCTTTATGCTGTGAACCCAACAAAGCAATCAGGTTCTTACTGTTGCTGGAAGGTCGTACAATCAGGCTGAGCTTTCGTTTTTACACATGCATTTCCTGTCTGGTCTATGCCAAAGTGTAGGACCTGGAAATCTGCTTATGGTGAAGGAGAGATGTGTATTTACAGTATTAAAAGTAGACCTTACAGGGAAATTTCTGACGTAAACAGCTCCAAAACTGTCCTGATGTACCTCATGTGGTGTGACTCAGCAGAGGCCACAGTCCCGTTAGACTGGTTTATACTGACAGAGAGCTCGACTCAGAGTGAATTCTGCCTATTGCTTTCCTGTTGGTTAAGGATGAACCTCAACAAAATCCATTTGCTCTCCTTCTGAAGTGTTCGTTTCCTATCCTATTCCCAAAGAGCAGGGCTGTGATGACTGAGGCATGGACTCAGCCTGGCAGAGAAACGGAGACATTTATTACAAAAGGCAAACTCTTTTTATACCCTTCTACAGGACACAGTATTTCCCTAGATGGTAACTCTCACTAAGCGACACACATTGCCACTTCTAAATCAGGAACTCAAAGGACCTGATGACAATTTTAGAGCAGAAATACTTGGGTGTGATGGCAAACTTCCTGACCAACCAGGGGCAGAGCTTGGCCAGAGTTTAGGCTTTGGCTGGCAGGGTTTCCCTAAAATATCTTACAGATAAACTTTTATTAATAATCAGTGGTAACATGAACAACCTACAACCAACCAAGGGATATAAATAACATCAGATAATTATCTTACAGCTCAATCCCTTTATAAAAACTCCATATATTAGTGTTATGATATAAACAACATATTTAGAATCACCATTTATTGTGTAAAAATCTTTAAAGTTAGGGCCCAAACCCCACAAAGCAGTCAGGGAACAAGCTCCATTCATCTTATCCTTTCAGTTTCTCAAGCTGATGATGAAGTTGGAGTAACCAAGGCTGGTCAGATCACCCTTGCACATACCCATTGTGGGCCAGAATCTGTGGAAACACAGGCATATACTCCAGCTTATTAATGGTAAGGGGCCTTCCCATTTTCCACTTTAAAGATTCTTAACAAATACTTGAGCTTTTTCTAGGTGAGTTTGCGATCCCCTGAAATGGTGTTGGACTGGGGTTGAGTCATTCTGAATGTGATTCAAAAACTTAAGATATATATAAGGCTTTTCCTAGTCTTCTGTGGGGCGTATACCCCATCCCTACACTCCCCCTTTTTTGTTTAACAACACCGACTTCAGAGTACTATGGGCCCATTCTGTTGCAAGGAGTTTCTCTCCTCTGCCCTTCCCCAGTTCATTCCTCATCCTTTAACTGTCGGACTCTTTCTCCTTCTCCTCATCGTCCTTTGCATTGGTCTCAGATTTATCTGAGAATTCGTGGAGCAGGACATGCTGCTGAAGCCAAACTCCAGCATGTCCTCGTTCAGTAGGTGTTAGCGCTGGGGCTGGAGGCGCAGGTTGCTGAGGAAGGTGCCGTTCCCCGAGCCCGGGGCGCTGCTATAGGGTCTCAGCTCACGGCCCGCGGTGCCGTGCTGCTCCAGGCGCTCCTGGAGGCTCGGAGCAGGACCGGTGGGCGATGGGGATGTGGGCGAGGCGGCTGTGCCCGCCCAGCAGGTAGGCTCTCTGCCTGTGGATGAACATCAAGGACAGGAGCTCGTCATTGTTGAAGGGGCACAGGCACCAGCGCGTCCGCACGCCTCGAGGGGTTCGATGTCCTTCATCACCACACCCTGGAACGTGTTGGTGTCCTCCAGCACCGCCCTGGACAGCTCGGAGCTTGGCTTTTGCTTGTTCACGGCAGCTTTTCCTTTGGGTTTGCTCTCGAGCTGCCGGAGCTCCGGGTTCTGGTCGTCGCTGCCCTCGATGCTCTGCCGGTGCTGTTCTCTCCTCTCGTTGTAGAACTCCCTCCCTGCCTGCTGCTGCTGCAGGTTCTGCGTGCCCTGCTGGTGGCCGCGACCTCCCGGCCTGTCAGTGAGGATCTTCTTTCCGTGTGAATGGTCCCCGCTCCTGTCCCGGTCCTCCCTCCTGTCCCGGTCCCCGCTCCTGTCCCGCCGGTGCTCCTGCTCTGATGGGTGTCTCTCCTCGTTCCCCTGCCACAGCGATCATCCAGTTCCTTCTCCACCCTCCTGGCGCTGTGCTGCGGGCTGTGCCCGCGACTCCATCCCCGCTCGCCGTGTCACCGGAACTGCGGGAACGATCCAACACCCAACCCCTCCAACAACATTTTTAGTTAAAGAATCAAGGCATTTCTTTGCTTCTGGCTAGGATGTGTAGCAGAAATAATTTCATCCATACATAGCCCGGGTGTGCAGAGGAAATAATTCTATGACACATAAGTTTTATTAGGTTTTTAACATATTTTGTACAGTGAAAACCCCATAGAAATTCACTGGTGTAATAGTCGTTGGTTTCCTATTGGTTACAGATCTCTTTGCCTCCGGTGTTAATTAGGTCCTCATTCTTACCTCTCTTTCCCAGGCCAAGTGTCTCTGGCCATGCCGGGGGTGTTGTTTGGAGTTGATGTTCCCTTCATGGCTGTTATCTTTTGTGCATCTTCTGTGCTGCTCCCAGTCTGTTGAGACGTTAAACTCATCAGGCCTCACCTGGTGGAAACAATGTCTTGGAAAGAAACCCCAGTTGCTCTGTTTTACTTTTCCCTTCCCTTAGTTCAGTTCCCCTCCAACATATCTCCAGTTGCAAGAAACGAGCCAAGTGTTCTGGTGGGTGTGGGGATGGCCTGGAAGGGAGAAGGAAAAGCCTGGACTGAAGTGTTGGAGCCTCGAGGTGGGGAGGGAGAACACTGGAATGCAGGGAGGCCACGTTGGCTCCCATGAGTTGCTGGTGAATGATGACCAGGTCGGGGTGGGGGGGGGGGGGGGTCTTGGAGCTGGGGCCCTCCTTCCCTGCGCGGTTGCACTCGGAGTTAATAAATACTGGTGCATAGTGGTGGTAATGGGGCTTTCTGTCCTCCCTCACCACCTCGTGAAAATAGAAGTACTGTAAAGAAGTTTCTGGGTTTCCCTTGATATGTTTCTTCAGCAAAGCTGACACTGTTACTATGTTTTGTTGTTTAATTTTCTGTTTAAATGTATGCCCGAAAAGGGGTTTTTGTTCTAAATATACGTTCCCCCAAGTCAGTTGTTGCTGGATAGAATGAGTGAGAGACATAGAGAATGACTGTGACAGCAAACTGTGAATTCAAGGAGAGTGATTGTGAGGGCCCAGACAATAGCCTGTGTCACAGCCACACTGAGCCAGGAGCTGCACTTTAGCTCTTGAATTTGCTCAAAAGCAGCTGGAAGGGAGGTCAGGCTTTGGTGCTGTGGGATGAACCTGTGGGAGATGCTTTGCTGGAGTGAGCAGGTACCCTGTGTGAACCATGTGGGGTCAAGGTGTTACCTCTGTTCACTGGATTCAGGTTCTCCTTCCTTCTCTTCATTTTTACTTGAAAAATTGCTTCTAAATAATTCAGTGAAGCTTCTGTCAGTGCCACGTGCAGGTCCCACAGAGCTGATGCTGGAGGAGCATCATCCTGTCCCTTCATGCTTGGAGAAAGGGAAGGTGCACTGAGATGTGCGGGCTCGACTTTAGCCCTTCTTGGCCTAGGTCAGGCTGAATTCCAGCTGGCATTTCGGCAGCTTTTCTGTCCTTCAGGCACTTTACATGAAGAGCAGGGTAATTGTGCCCCAGAGCTCACGATCCTGCCAGACACATCCAGTGCTTAAACAGTTTTAAATCTCTCCTAGGGGTGGAGACAGCTCGTTTGTATCTCTGCATGTGACTCATAAAGTAATAGGACTTCTGGTTATGGTCCGAAAACTAAATTTCAATGCCTGTTACTCCAATATCCTTCTCATTTCCAGCCTGTGTTCCTCCTAATCCTGCGCTACCACTGCTGCAGCCTCAGCATGATTGAGTTGTAAGTGGAAATTTCATTTCCATAGCCTCTGCAGCTTATTGTATTAATGAATGGGGTAGAATCATGCTAATTATTTGCCACACAATCAGTGATCTTAATGAAGTAAGACTTACACAATGACAGTGCGGTGTTTTGAAATCAGTTTTCTGAAAAGAACCACTGGTTTAATGTTTTTTTAATGCTTTAGTAAAAGGTGTTCACTGCCCTGGGTCGTCTACCCGGAGCGTTATCACGTCCCTGTGACAATCCCGGATTCCTGCTGGGAGAGGGGCTGGCTCTTGGTTCTCACCCACTGAATGCACTAAAGTCTCTATTCAAAGTGATTAATCAGAGTTTCTGCCTGAGTAAAACAAGCAGTTGGCTCTGTACTCACTGCCCTGATGTTGGGCCAGTGCTGGCGGGGACTGTCCTCCCCAGCTGCTGCAGGACTTTGGGGGCTGTCCCTATGTCCTCTGTCCTGCCGTGACCCTGACCCCGTGGGAGCACTGGTGACACGGCCTGATCGTGTCCTCAGTGCCACAGCAACAAAACAGGGCGAGATCTGAGTAACTGCTGAACGCAATCACTCCAAAGTGGTAATCGGTTACTTTAACTCAGCTTCCACCAAAGACTTATGTTGGAGAGTTGAATTTTTGTGGGTTTTTGTTTCGTTCCTCATGGTTTTAAATCAATGCCTTCAAGCACACTGACAGACCCCAAAGCATTTTTACTGCTCCAGTTCTGAAACACATTCCTGAAACCTAATCAGTTGCATTAGCGTTTCTAGAAATAACCCACAGCCTGTAGTTTCTGTTGTAGGTGGGTAAATACCCTCACATACACCTGGAAATGCTCCTGTGAAGTTAAAAGCATAATCAGTTGATCAGTGTTCCTAATCCCTTGCCTCCAAAGGGATGGGATGGGTGGGCAGGGGGCTTGCTCTGCTGTGGGATGCAGCAGGTGAAACCTCCCACACCCCGAGTCTGGTGATGGGAGAAAATCTTTTGTGTCCACAAGGAGCCAGAGCTGGGGGTGTCCGTGGTCCCCACAGTGACACACAGTGACTTGTCCCCTCTGTCTGTCAATCCCTGGGCTCAAGTTTTGCACTCCCGTTGGGATCGTCTGTTCCTGGTAATCATGAAGAAATGTTCCACTTGTAAACGTATGTACATTTTATTAAAACTGTATCTGATGAACAGCCACCATCTCCATTGTGTCTTCTTTCTCCCCTCCCCATATTTTTGCTAGATACAGGGACTCTGTTTTTTAATGTTCTTCCTACTAGTGCTGAACTGGGTTTGGCCCTGCTGTTTTACCTAGCAGCGATAAAGTAAAACTGCTATTGCTGCTTTAAGCAGAGGGTATTTCAGTTTATATTCAAGAGAACTCTTCCCACCCAGGGCAGGACAGAGCCCAGAGCCTGCCCTGCAAAGCTGCTGCTCCTCGGTTTTAATGCAGGGCTGGTGACCAGTAGATGTGAAGTCTCACTGCGTGCTGATTAAAGGTGTTTTTCGGTATCATTCAGCAGCCAAGACTCTCTAAGTGCAAAATGTTATTTGGGCTTTGCTGCACTTCTTAATTTCATTTCAGTCTTGGTGTAAAATGTCCTTTGAGAGAGAATTTGTGCTGCCTTCTGGCTCTGCACAACTCCTGATAGGAGGGGACACCCGGGGGGTCGGGATCTGCTCCCAGGGAGCAGGGACAGGAGGAGAGGGAATGGCCTCAGGGTGGGCCAGGGGAGGTTCAGGCTGGATATTGGGAATATTCCTTCATGGAAAGGGCTACCCAGCCCTGACACAGGCTGCCCAGCGCAGTGCTGTAGTCGCCATCCCCCATCTGGGCGGGATTTAAGAGCTGTGTGGGTGCGGCACTCGGGCACACGGGTGAGTGGCTGGCCCGGAGCCGCCGGTGCCCGTTCCGCCCCGATCTCCTCCGCCATGGCCGCTGTCGCCCTCAGGCGCTGCCGCCAGGGGGCGCCGCCGTGAGCGAGCGGCGGCAGGAGCAGCCCCGGGGAGCCAAGATGGCGGCGGCGCGGCGGCTGTGCGCGGCGGCGGGGCTGGGCGGGCGGTAGGTGACCGCGGGGCCCGCGGCTCCCGCTGCCCCGCACGGCTTTTTCCCGCAGGGAGCTCGGCGTATTCGCGGAGGGGCCCCTCCCGCCCCTTCCCTGCGCGACTCAAAGAGGGCCGCGTCGCACTTAGCGGCCCCGCGACCTCTAGGGCCGCCCCGAGTGCTCCTTGCTCTTCCCCTTCCTTTCTCCACCGCGGACTGGGATGACGCTTCTTCCTGAGTGTTTCTCCTTCCCAGCCTTTTGCCAGCCGCGAGCTGGTAGTTCTTCCTGACACGCAGCTCCTGAGTGCTCACCCCCTGCATACCCGGGGAGAGCCGTGAGGGGAAATTACCGAGGGGTAATTCCCTTCACATGTGCTCAGGACCTGCACCGAGGGGTAATTCCCTTCACGTGTGCTCAGGACCTGCACCGAGGGGTAATTCCCCACACGCTCAGGACAGTGCAGCCGGGATTAATTCCCCTCACACATGCTCAGGATCCTGCAAGGAGGGGGAATTCTGCACCCCCGCGTGTGTACAGGATCAAGCAGTGAGGAGCTGTTACACCCCCCCTCCCACCCATTCCTGTATATTCAAGGCCATGAAATAACAGGAAATTCCTCCCCCACAATTTGCTCAAGATCAAGCAGTAAGGAGGAATTTCGAGGATCCTGTAGCGCTGGGCACGCTTGCTCTGTGCTGAGCAGTGTAAAATGGGATATAATCATTATTAGCTAAAGGGAACTTCCGGGGGCCTTCATTATACATTCTGTTGTGGTTTCTACCTGCTCCCTAGCCCACAAAAATAAGCGAGTAACATGATTTAGACTTTTTCCATGTTCTTGTGTCCTGCACTCAAGGTAGGGATGTTCATTTCATGAGACCGAGCTTCTCTCCTGTTCCATGTTTGAGGCTTCTGGGCCTGTGTGCAGTGCTTGTGTTCTGGTTTATGACCAGAACCAGCATCTTACTGAACGGCCCCTGCAGATGGTATTTACTGAGTTTATCAGTTTTCCTCCCATATGGCTGATAAGGAGGAGAGGAACTGGATAATAATTGATCCTTAGTATCCAATAATTCATCTGTGATGTGAGTTTTGTTTTCATTTTCTGATGTTCACTTTGCTTTGAAATACCCTGATGCTGTTGGCTGTGCACACGGTTACAGAAATCAGGTATTTACAGCTGTGAAACTGAAGCCTGTTACTCAATCACTCTGTCTTGCTTTTCCTTTTAATGTTTTTTTTTTCCCTTTGCCCCCTGCTGCTCTCCCCTCTTTACTTTTGTTTGAGCCAATGACACCACCTCAGGTGTGTATTGCTGAGTCTGGGGGCAGCTAAAAGCATCTGCAATACTCTTTCTTTGGGACAGTGCAAATGTAGAATTTGGGAATTGTCAGTAAAGTTGTTTTTCTCTAGGTTATGTCATGTGCTGTTAAAAGATCATAATCTGACGACTCGACAGCCTTTACACCAGCTTCTGCAAAAGAAACCGTCTCTTCCATCTGCAGCATGGCATCGTGCAGGTAAATACCAGTTAAAAATTAACAGATGAGCACATTGTGGGTTTTTATGTTCCATTGTATAGCTGAAAGTTTGCTGTTCGTTCTGAGGATTATGCTTTTTAGTAAATAAAAGTTAGCAGAACAAGCTAAGCCAAGGTTCCTTTTATGCTGCTGTCTCCTGGCAGATGACGTGCCCGTGTTCAGCAATGCTCCTGTGGCTCAGGGGTTTTTGGGTTGTGTTTTTAAAGCCTCGTGGCTGCCCGGGCTGCAGTTCTCTGGAGCAGAGGAATCACTCTGGGCTTGCTGAATTATCAGGACTTGACTTTCATTTAAGGTCCTTAGGTTTGATTATATTACTTTTCTTCTTTGTCTTTGTTTTTGCAGTAAGAGGCATGTTTATTCAAACTCAAGACACACCAAATCCAAATAGCTTGAAGTTTATTCCAGGAAGGGAAGTGCTGGAGTCGAGGACTATGGAGTTTTCCACACCGGCTTCAGCCTATTGCTCACCTTTAGCAAGGTATTATTAAACACACCATGACTGGTTAGGGGCTTGGTCTGGGCTCTGTGTCTACAGCTGATGTTTTTAAGCAAATTCCGATCATTCTGCTGCTCCTCTGGAGTGTCTTGCTTGGATTTGAGATGTAATGCTGCCTAAGATGAAAGCTGGGAAGGTTATTGTGGGTACTCCCCACAGCTCTGTCATGGCAGGAGGCACCATGGTCTGGTTCCTGCAGTTGGATTGAGAGGGGGTACAAATCAGTATCTGTGAGCAGAAGCTGCATCATCAGTGAGATCTCTGGCCCTGATTTCTCAAATTCATCCCCTCAGAACACTCTCCGTTCAAGTAGTTACTTGGAAATTATGTAACTGTTTAGAATTGGGAAACAGTCTGTGAATAGCCCCCAAATACTCTGAAATAAATGCAGCAGCTCGCTTTGGCAGGTGTTGGGGCTCCCCTGAACTTCAGAACCAGGGTGTTTTTCCTTCACTAAAGATTTGTGCTTCACTCAAAGAAAGACAACTGTTCTGGGCTGGGTCTGTAACAGGTCTTGGAAATGCTGCTTTCATTAATCAAAATGTACTATCTGGAGTAAGAATCAGTTCTTGGCATAGAAGGGGCTTGGAGCACCAGCATGAGTCTCTGGGAATATTTGGAGGCACTGATTTTGTGTCACTGCTTTCACATCAGTCTGTGAAAATAAACTCTGTGTGTTCTGTGGGTGGAAGGGCTTTGGGCAGGGAATGAGACCTAGAGATGCTGCAGTGGAGATCCCAGGCAGCTTTGGCTACCTTGGCAGAATTCTGTATAAGAGCAGAAGCTGTGTGCCATGGCATTCCCTCCAGGAGCTGGGGGACTATCAAACACACAACTCTGATGTTTCCAGAGGCCTCTTGCAGGGCTGTTTGAGAGCAAACAGGATCTTTGCAGACAGAGCTCTGTGACTTGCAGTAATAAATCCAATGTGAAAGGTTTCTGAGACATCACAACGTGTTAGCAAAGTGCTGAAGCTGCAGGATCTCATTGTGCCAAGGTGCATCAGGTTGCAGAGTGAAGTCGACTGTCATAAAGTGGCTTTTTGTTGTCATCTGTCTGCAAATAGACATTTTCATCCAGGATGGTGTGTGTGCTGCAATGTGTGCAGTGCACACCAGTTTGGTTGTGTGTATTGTGCAGGATCATGGGGAAAAACCGTCTGCTTTGTGTGTCACTGATCCCAGATCATGGTTTCTGTAAGTGGGATGACTTTGTTTTAAAAGGGAATAAAATTCCCTTTTAAATATAATTTGGAATAAAAATTTCCAAAGAATTAACAAAAGCTCCCTAGACGAGAGGGAGGGAAGAGAATTATTTAATTATTTCAGATGGTTTGGTGCACTTGCATAATTCCATGGTTTAAATATTTTCAAAATCCAGTTGATTTAGCCATGTAAATGCTCAGTGCACACAAAACTATTTAATGTGTAGAAATTCTTTCAAGTGGGTATTGTGAAATCACTTTTATAATTTTCCATTGCACGTACTTTTGTGGTAAGATTTCTGATTCTTTCATTCATTACATTTTTGATATTTTCCAGTCTTTCAAGAGAATATTCCCCCCCCAATTACAAAAAAACACTCTTACAGCCTTACACTGTATCTCACAATTTTTGTGAGTATTAAATATTGCTTTACTGAGGGTTTCTGGAAGGATCCATGTTTCAGCTCCACAAACTTTAAGTTGAATATTGTGTTCCATCAGGCCTACAGTGCAAGTTCACCACAGTTTTAATTTTTTTTTTCTGTAGATGAAATTGTTGGGTTAACCATATTATTAATTGTTAAAATTAAAACTCAATTTGTCAGATTGGGTGCATTTTTACCCATTCCCCCCCCCTTGTTTCCTTAACAGACAGTTATTCCGGATTGAAGGAGTTAAAAGTGTTTTCTTTGGGCCAGACTTCATCACAATCACCAAGGTAAGGAGAAGAGTGATTCAGCTGTGCTCAAAGATGAGCTGTATGGAAATGGCCACAGAGCAGATCCAGCCAGGCTCTCAGACAGGCTTAGTGGAAGTCCCAGAGAAGTGCACACAAGTGCCCAAAGGGAGCTGCCTTTAATATAAAAGAAAATAAGTTCAGGGAATAGTGAATTGACAATCTTGAGTCTCTGAAACAGTTGATAAAAATATCTGTCAAATAGTAACATATTTTGGACACTTTCACACCTTTTTAACTAATATTTTAAAAGCACTTGCTTGGCTTGCAAACAAGGAGGCCTTTCTTTACATGTCACAGTCTGAGTCTAACTAAATGTCTTTGGCAAAGCTGGACTTGCCAGAACATGGAGTCCAGTCTGTGCATTAAATGTGAGGGTCCATTATGGCATTCTTAATATCAGACTCTCTGTGTAATGTAGCAGAAGCAGGCAGGTACTCTTCTTTATTCTTGTTTTCCCCCCTCTTCTGATTCTCTCAGGAGAGTGAAGACCTGGACTGGAATTTGCTGAAACCAGATATTTATGCAACCATAATGGATTTCTTTGCCTCTGGCTTACCTGTAGTTACTGACGAGGCACCTAGGACAGATACAGGTAAGTCAGATCTTCAGGGAAAGGCCAAGGTGTGCCTTTGGGTTTAGCTTTTGTGCCATCCAGAAGAGCCTCCACTTCTCCCTCAGAAAAGCATGCAGGAGAATTTAAATTTAAAACCTATTAAGATGAACGAATGCAGGCATTCCAGGAATGCCTGGAATTCTCTCAGTGTTCTGACTTGCACATTTTTCTTTTCCCAAGCTGCTTCCGAAGAAGATGATGAAGTTGTACTGATGATTAAGGAGCTGCTGGATACAAGAATCAGGTGAACAGGGAGCATTGCTGCTGGATGAGTGAGTTAGTCTTGGGAGTTAGTGTGTTATTCTTTGGGAATGTGATTCCATGGTTCAGCATCTGATGTGGAGAGGTTCAAGTGCAGAACTGGCCAGAGCTGGGAATGCTGTTCAGTTGAAAACTCTCTCTCTGGTTTTGCTGTTGAAGCTTCTGTCCTGAGCAGAGTCCTTTGCTGACTTCAGAGCAGGGCTCACCCTCCACATGGTCCATGGCTTTAACGTGGCTGCTTTAAGGCATGGAAATAGCACAGGCTTTGCTTCTACAGACACCCTTTTCTCTTTCTGTATTGATGTCAGTTGCAATTGTTCTTCTCCTTCCCTTCCAAGTGTTCCAAAGTAGTTTATATTCCAAAGGAAAATTTCCTAGTGGAAAATCCTTGCCCTCAACGGATTTTGGCTTTGCACTCTGTTGTGATTTTATTGGTGCTTTAACACAGCTTGAATTTAGAAACTGGTGGTAACTAATGAAGTCTCAAGAGTAGTTGTGGATCATGTTGTTTACCTGAAGAGTATTTTTGTGCTCATTAAGTGCCTTCCAAAGTGAACTGAAAGCAATAAGTAACTTGACATTTAATGTGCAGGGGAAGATGTCTGATGTGCTTGTGATATCTGATGGTGACATCTTCCCCAGCTCACGAACTGCAGGAACCAGAAACTACTTTATCTCAGAGCAGACACATGGTGCTGGTCAATTTTCCTGAAAAAGCAAGAAAAGTAGAAATAAGCTGGAACATCTTTCCCAAATTTTGTACTAAGTGTTGAAACCAGAAGCCAACTACAATGTTGGCTAAAGCTGTGACAGAAATGTTCATGCTCCTGCTGGGTACCTGGTTGTTTAAGCTCCCTGGGGTGTGTCAGTCCTTGATTTCCTAGGGGCCTTTTCTAATAGGCACAGAATTTCTGCCCAAAATTCTGGTTTTCCCACCTTTTCATTTCTCTAATTTCTTCCCCCTCAGTGCACCAAGAAGCTGTTGATGAGAATAGCAGCAGTTCTGTATCTTCTTTCATTTTATAGCAGACTATTCTCAGAAGTTATCCATAAATCAGGTTACACATAGAGCATTTATTGTCCAGCAAATCAAAATTAAATGCAGAGAAGTTGTCGCAAGGTGCAGGATGGAGGGAATGTACATCTGGAAGGTCCTGTAGTGTGTCAAAAAGTTAATTCAAGTAAGGGAAATGGTATTTTAAATCATGATCTTTGGCTTTCTGGAATGGAGATAATTTGCTGTGGTGAGTTTATAAATGTGTCAGGTTCAGAGACTTCTCTGTTAGGACTGTAGTTCTCAGAGAGTTATTTTGGAAATCAGTATAAAGAGCTTCTGTTAGAGTAACTTGATGGTTTTAACTTGGTCTGGAAAAATGTTGCTATGGCGACAGAACTACAATGCTGGGCATTTGTGGCTGGCAGAGAGAGAGCAGGCTGCAGAAATGCATGTGGCACTGAGGTGAGCTTATCAGGAGCTGGTTCCTTCACCCCGAGCAGGATTAAGCTTTTATAGTTGGAGCTGTTTTCTGTCCTTCGTAAATTGTGGAGAGCTGCATATTTATTTATGGAAGCAGGGCTTCTTATCACAGGTGACAGCTGCACTGCAGCCGTGGGGGGACACGCCCCTGGTGTTACTGGCAGCAACTGAGGCAATGATTGCCTGTGGAGAAAGCCTCCAGGCAAGCCAGGGTGTCTGTGCTGGCTGAGCTCTGCTCCAGGGCGTTCACTCTCTACCCTACAAGTTCAGTGATTCCTTCATACACTGCTGGATTCATTGCAAATATGGCTTGCCTGCTGTCCCCCAGAAAAAGTTTCTATGTTAGATAGTCTGGCGCAGGAGGAGTTGTTGGAAATGTGAACCAGGTGGTTGTAGAGAAATAGTGACTAAATCCCTCTATCTTGACAATTTTTGTATTAAATACTGCTTTGCTGAGGGGAAAGATCCATGTTTCAGCTCCACAAGCTTTAAGTTGAATATTGTGTTCCATTAGGCCCACCGTGCAAGAAGATGGTGGTGATGTTATTTACAAAGGCTTTGAGGATGGGATTGTGCAGCTGAAGCTGCAGGGGTCGTGCACCAGCTGCCCCAGCTCCATCATCACCCTCAAGAACGGGATACAGAACATGCTCCAGTTCTACATCCCTGAGGTGGAAGGCGTTGAGCAGGTGGGTCGGGGAGAGACCACAGAGGGTTTCTTTCCAGTGGAAAAGGAGCTCTGTCCCCCTTTCCAGCGGGGGCAGGTTGGCAGCTCGGGAAAACCAGAGATATATAGATGCAGGTTTTCCAAGTCAGCAGCTGCATCTTGGCAGGGTGCTGTAGCAGCCCATGGGCTGGGACTGCCTGCCTGGGAGCAGCCCTGGGTGCTGTGGGTGCCTGGCTTGGCCTGAGCAGCAGCAGTGGCCCTGGGGCAGGGCTGGCTGATGGTGTTGGCAGCAGGGGAGGCAGGTGACCCTTGCTGGATTCGCCCCAGTGTGCCACACCCCTCCTCTGCCGAGGAGCCCTGAGCTGGACACACTTGGTTGCTGATACCTTTGTGCTTTGGTGACTTGATGTGATAAAAAGCAACGAGCTTTGTTCCCTGAAATGCAGATTCTTTGGTTTTCTTATGAAATACCTGTTCTCTAGAGCAATTGTTTTCGTGGCCTTTGTGGTAACTTGGCCAGCTCCTATAATTAAAGCTCATTTCCTCATGGCATTTTGAATTGCCAGTTTTTCTTGCCTTCCTCCTGAACCTGTTGTCATTCAGTGGTGTGGAATAACTGCTGTTCTCCTTGGGCGCAGCAGGGATTTAATGTAATAAATCCTTCAGGACTGAGAGCTTAAACTGTTTATCTAAACTACTTCTGGATTTGATTTCAGGTTGTTGACGATGATGATGACGTGGAGAAAGAAGCAAATTCTACTTGAGCTTCGTCATCTGTGGCCAAATAAACATTTAACTCCTGGTATATGTAAACCATCTTTGTGCTGAGGAACAACCAAATCTGCCTTGTCAGAAAAATAGCTGTACTTACTGTGAGAATGTACCATCAGTTCAAGCAGTTCATCCACTAATTTATTAAATGCCCTGTATTACAGAAAAATTCTTTTACTCTACTCTGTGCTATGTCTTTAGAAAGAAATGGTGGGCTCAGAAAACAGTGATGTGGTTTTTTTGTTGTTTTTTCATACAGAAACTTCAATACTGAAAAAAAGGAGAAGGCAAAAGTTCCTCGGCTTTTTCATGCAATAGCAATATTAGATGTTTATTCCTCCAGCCTGTAGGACTGACAGGACTCTCTGCCCTTACTGGGAGCTTCAGGAATGTTAATTTTATCAAGTCTTGTTAATAAGCTGCTGATTGCTATCAAATTTTAATGTGTGAAAGATAACCTTTGACATTAACTGTTCATTTTGGGGGATGTGACGCTGCCATGGCTTGTGGAAAGTTATCTCCTTACTCATTGCTACTGTGCAAACCATAGCAACAGAAACAAAAAATCATATCTTCTATAGTAAATGTTGGAAAAGAATGATCCTTATCAGCTTCACTAAGTAGAGAGATTAATTAGCTCATTTAGCAGTGAAATGGTTCAGCCACCATTAGTGTTCTGTTGAAACATGCATGATTTCTCAGAGTAATTCTGCAGCATCAGGAGGAGGGTGCCGTGCTGGCAGGCACGGATTGCCTGTGCAGGGTGGCAGAGGGAAGGAGGGCCTGTGTTTGTGTTTGCTCCTGCCATATCCTGTTTGCTCTCTGGCCTTGTACTTGGCTGCCTCTGTGGGGGACGTGGCAGAGCAGGGCTCCTTCCAGTCCTGCACACCAGGGCAGAGAAGTGTTTGCTGTTCTGACATACAGAACATACATAGTGTTTGCAGTTGAAATACATAAATGGGGCTTTGCAAGGAGCTGTGTTTACTTCTGTGTGGAGGAGCGATTTCTTCCTGGTGCCTGGCTTTAGCAGAGGGCTTCGTGACCAGGAATTCTGTTCCTTCTTTGTGCTAAACCATGGAGCTGAGTTGTGGTCCTCATTTGGCTTATGATTGGCTTGACAGGCTCTGGTGTGTTCCCTCTTTCATCCCTTGCCAGTGTAAGGGTCCCTAAACAGGATGAGTTCAGTTGCTGGAGAATCTCCTCTATAGCACCACATCAGCCTGTGGTAACCATAAACTGCCTCTTACTTGGTAGAAATTTGAAAATAAATACTTTAGCTAAATATTTCTTCAGCTTTCAGTAATAACCCACAGTTGTTTGAATTACCCTCCCAGGATCTGGAAATCGGTGTGAAATAACCATCTTTTCCTTCACTCTCTGGTGAAGTACACGGTACCAGCGTACTGATGACAAAATTCCCTGCTGCAGGGCAGGGAAGAAAAGGCCGGGACAGGAGCAGGGCAGAGTGAGCTCCGAGGGGAGCAGTGCTGCTGTGCCTGCCCGCACGGTGTGTGTTCCTGCCCCTCACCTTCCCAGGGCTCATTGGGAAATCGGTACTCTCCTGCCTGCTGGAAATCAGAGCTCAGGCCTCGTGCAGCTTCACCGGTGACAGGGAGATAAAGCCCTGGCAGCGGCAGGGGAGAGCGCTGCCCGGCACGCTCCGGGCCCGGGTATCTGCCCCGCTCGTCCCGGTGTGTCCTCGCTGTGGAACACAGCCGGGATGGGGCTGTGGCTGTGTGCTGGCTGCGGGCTTCCCATGTTCCTGACATCCCATGTCCTTCTCACTGCTCTGTGTCCGGCCAGGTCCTGGCAGCAAGTGCAAAATAGGCCCCGTCCCGGTTCTTTTGTGTGTCCTGATGTGGGTTATTTTCTGTGCTTTTTAAGGAAATAGTTCTCTATTGACTTTTTAGTGTAATATAAAGTTGAATGAATGGTATTTTTCTTAAGGCATTGCTGTGTTTTGTAGCCTTAGGCTTTTAATACGTTTCCAAGCAGGGTTTGGTGGGGGTGGCTGCAGACAGAATCGCTGAGCTCTCCAGATGAACGGATGTCACGCCTTGGTCAGTTATGCCTGTCCCAGTTTGCTTTGCAGATTCATCTTAATGGTTTCTTTCTCTTGCTTCTGAATGGGTGCTGTTATAGAACAGCTTGAGTAAGAAACCAGAGGCCAGGCCGCGTGGACTGGGAAGGATGCAGCCCGTGTCACGGGGCTCCGGGAGCCTCACGGGGCCGCTCGTCCTCTGCCCCAGCCCGGAGCAGCCTCGGGCGCTCACCCCGTGATCTTCAGGCGCTGAGTGCTGCGGAAAGGCCTGGGGATGATCCCATGGGAGCTGCTCCTGCCTGGCGTCAGTGGGAATTACCGGGGGGAGCATCTCCCCTCCGCTGTCCGGGCCTGTAAATTCCCGGGAAGGGTCTGGGAACGGGGGCTCCCACCGGCCCGAGGCTGGGAATCACCGGGGACTCGGGGAACGGGCCCATCCCCGTGTCCCGGGCGTATTTTCGCCGTCCGGTGCCCGTCCCCCTATGTCCGCCCGGCCCCGCGGCGGACGCGGCCCCGGCAGTGGCTGCCACGTCCCGGGCCGGGCGGGCGGGGCGGCGGCGAGGCGGCCAATGGCGGGGGCGGGGCGGGCCGGGGCCTGCGCCGGGCCTGGCGCGAGGGGCGCGGCCCCGGCGCCACAGACAGCGCGGCTGCGGAGCGGGACGCACCATGTGCGGTGAGCACAGGGCCGGGGGCACGGCGGGGCCCGGGCCGGCCCCGAGCCGGCGGGAGGAACCGCCCGGCCGGGCGCTGTGAGGCCGCAGCGCGGCCCCGGCCGGGCGGGGATGGAGGGTGAGAGGCGGCCCGGCCCCGTTATCCCAATAACGCGCGGGGGCGGCTCGCACCGTGCTAGCGACTGAAAGGGCGAATTGTTGCCAGTCTGCCGGGGATGTGGCGGCAGCGGACAAAGGGCCGGTGTCCCGGGCTGTGCTGGCGGGGTCGGCTCGATGCTGCCGGGGACAGACACGCTGCCCGGGCCCGGGGAATCCCGCTGTGGCTGCCGCTGGCACGGGAGCCCCGGTGCGCGGCAGGGACGGGTAGGACGGGGCGCTCCTGTGCCGTGGCTCTGGTCCTATCGCAGTCACCACTCCCACCCCGGGTGCCAGCGGTGTTGATGTTTACTAGGCGTTACAGCTCCCGGTAATTTGTTTGCCGCAGGTCGGTCCGGCCTGGCCCGGCTGTGCCGGGACTGTGCCCCAAGCCCGGCGTGAGCTCCGGCCGGGGCTGATCTGGTTCTGGTTCTCCTCTCGCCGCCGTGCCTTGCACTCCGCTTCCCGTGGCAATAGAGCCACCCAGCCCCATCCTTTCACTCAGGAATGTCATTTATCCTTTTTCTTCCTCTTCCTATCCCGTCGTCTTCATGTTTTTCCATGGAAATTTATGCAACACCGATCTGTTGGATTTCCCTATCTTCTTTCCACACTACCTTATTTCTTTTCCTGCCTGTATTTTTGTGTGCAGAATTATGCTCTCAGCGAGACTGTGGGTTTTACACTTAGTGTGCAAGTTGCCATTTCTCTCATTGTTTCTGTGGGATAGAACCGGCATTACCTTCAAGCTGTCAAGTTGTGGCGTGCTGTGGAGAATCAGTCAGAGATTCATACCTCAGCTCACGTTTAACACCGTGTTAATTCGTGTTGAAAGTACAAAGCGGTGCAAAGCTAAGAATAGAAATGATAATTATTATTATAAATAGCTTGCTGCAAGAATGGGGATGGTTTTGGTGCCTCGAGCTTGCCTTATTTGAGGTCCGGCCTTTGAAATGTGCAGTATTAACATTCTGCTCTTTGTCTTTTCTGTCGTGGTAAGAACCCTGAAAACACTGGGCAGTTGTGTTCAGGATTTAACGTATTTTTCCCCTTTTTGATAAAAGTTAAGTTCTTCTTGGATACTGAAACATTTTATGGGTAGAGTGGGAAAAGCACTGGGGGTTATTGTCTCTGAGTGTTGCTCTGGGAGTCGAGGATGTGTCCTGGAGTGACAGTGGCTTGTCTCTCCTCAGCGAAGGAAACCTGATGGTTTGGCTGGAGCAGAGGGCCCTGATTTCCCAGGCTGTGGCAGCTGCGGGGCCTGGTGTGGTGTTTGAGCCCTCAGATACAACGTTTGTCATGGAATTGTAGGTGGGGATGGATAAACATGGCTTTTAACCTGGTGGGTGCCCATCTGCGTTCAGAATTTTATCCAATTCACTTCACACAGAGAGGTAGTTGTTGAGATGAGTTTTAAAAGAAAGAAATGTGACAGTGCTGCTATTGTTACCTGAATTCTCAGATACCTCAGTCTGTGATACTGAAGGGAAAGCTTCAGCAGCTGCCAGACTGGAATTATCAACACAGTGTTTTCAACCTGATGTTCATCTTTGTGACCTTACCAAGTCCCTGTTCTGATGGGCTTGTGCTGCTGGACAGGTAAAGGAAAGGAGCCTCAAAGTCCAGTGCCTTGGTGCCTGCTATGGATACTGTTTAGGTGTGCTGGGGGTTTGTTTCTAATAATGTTAGACGCTTGTCTGTTAGACACTTGCAATTTGAACTCCTGGCCAGCTATGAGGTGGGTGTGCTTTGGTCCAAATGCACCAAACCTGTTCAATGAAATAACTCAGGAAACAGGTTTGTCAAGGTAGCCAGGCTGCACAGACCATTCTGTAAATCAGTAAACCTGTCCTATGGCATGGCTGGTTTTAATGACAAAAAGGGATTGCAGAATTCAGATCTTGGATTGTGGAATTCAGGTCTTGGTTTACTAGTGGTTACTGAAGATAAAAATGGGCTTAGGAGAGACTGCCGTTTCTAGTTCTGGGGTTATGTGTATGGCAGTGGGGACATGCAGCCCTTGCACATCTGTTCCACCTCGCTGTACCTGGTGTCTGCTTTGGAGTGGAGCATGGAGCAGTGGCTGTGGCCCAGAGGGAGTCCCTGGAATTGCTGCTCTGGTTGTTTATTTTTAGCTAGAGAGGGAGCTGTGGGCGTGGGCAGCGAGAGAAGTGTCCAGTGAATCCCCACGGAGTGGATATTGTTCTGTTTTACTTTTTTCCCAGCCTGGAGGTGATGAATTGAGTGTCAGCTGTCCCCTGGGCAGCTCCCAGACATAATAGTGATAGCAAGCTTGGGCCTGACCTTGTGCTCCTCAGACTGGGCAGGAAGAGGGATGTTTTGGGATGCAGGGACTGGCACCTCCCTGCAGGGCAACAGCAACAAGAGCTCCTCCAGTGGGGCTGAGCAGCAATTCTGGGATAAAGGATTCCTTGGAATTGCCAGGTGGATGTACTGATAGCAAGGTCTATGGAAATGAGTTAAGAGTAATAGGAAAAGGAATTTGGAAGTAAACCCAGCCTTAAAGCTTTTCTACTTTTGTAGGAAAAGGATTACAAGAAGCAATTCCTTCACGTATCCTGAGATATTTATCATTTACCTGGAAGGGGTGATTCATTTCATTTGCCTGTGAACGTGCCATGAAATTAAGGAACCTGAGCTGCAAAAAAGTTCACAGGGCAAATAAAGTTCTCAGAAAAAGTATTGTGACTGTCAGCTTTAGAAATCAATAATGTCCATTTGTTGAAAATGTTACTCTGTTAAAATTACCAGCTCTTTATAGGGAATTATTTATGTCGCTGATGTTAAGAAGGCCCAGGATTTATGCTTGAGTATTAAAAATCAGCTCTGTGAGGGAGTTGTGTTTTAGAAGCAGCTGAATGCCTGTTCTGGTGGTTCTCCAGGTAAGGTGTTTATCACAAACCTGCAAGAAAGGAAATGTTTCATATTCTAGATTATATTCCTCAAAGTATTTCACTTGAGAGAAATGCACAGAGAACTTATTATTATGGATCTTAGTGTGATTCAAGAGTTGTCTGATAAGCTGACATGCTTTGAATTGGCCTGTGTCAGGTTAGTAGCTGAAGCGTTTCATTGTGCTATGAAGTGTCACTGCTGTTCTGATTCTGAATTGCATTGGTGTTGAGTGCTGAGGTGTGTCAGTGTGTTCTAGACAGGGGTGTTGTGTTTTCTAAGGCTGCCAAGTAGGAATTCCTGCAGTGTCCTTGCTGCTTGGCTCTTGCAGCTGGGAATTCACAATTACCAGTGCTGGACGAGAAGGAAGTTCCCAGGGTTGGTTTTTTGTGTCATGCGTATTTCACCTCAAACAATGGCAGCTCAGGGTTCCTCAAGGCTGAGTGATTAAATGTCATTATAGATCTTGGTTTTCTGGGGTGCTTCCTGGTGCAGGCTCCTTCTGCAGTGTTACAGAGTTTTATATGTGACATTTTTGCTGGAAGCATTGTGTGGAGGGGCATCTAAAAGTGCACTGAAACCAAAACTCCTTTTCGGAGGGCCTGAAACTCCTGGTGGGCTGGTTTGGGGAACATTCTGCTCAAGGTTTTCACATTTTCAGCACCTGACATCCAGGCTGGTGGTGCACCACGTGGGACCCTGATGGAGCTCCTTGGATTTGCCTTGGGGAAATGGAGTAAATTTTGCCTTGAGGAAATGAGGGATGGAATTCCATCTCAACCAACGTTTCCATTGAGTGATTCCAAAGAACTGTGACTCTGAAGATGGAGAAATTGTCTCTTCTGAGACGGCTCCTGACAAAGCTCTGCGCACTGGATGTCTTCTCGTGTCTCGAGCTGTGTCCATTGGTTTGAATATCAGCTCAGGGAGGGAGAGAGCAAGGCTTGAACAGGGCACTGTGGCTCGGGGGAAAACCTGTCCCTGGTGTGGGACAAAGGCCTGGGCTGAGCTGGGACGTGGAATTGGGGAACTGAACTTAAAATTGGGGAACTGAACTTAAAATTGGAAGTGCTTACAGGGTATGATTGCTCAGGTATTCCTGGATGGTCTGTTTTCCACATGGGGATTCAAACTTACCCCAGCTGTGAAGTATTACATCACTACAGGATGTTTATAAAAGGGAAAATGAAACTCATTTGTAAATATTTCCAATAAATGAAGTTTGTTTACACAAAGTTCATCATGATAAGTATCACAAATGGGTGAGAAGCCTTCAAATACTGAATTTTAGCGTGCAAAGTCATGCATTTAGGAAGACTTGTGTTCTTTTACAGGGGCCTTATTGTCTCAGTTTTTACTTTAATGATATGTCATTTATGCATATTCTATTTTTATTTCATTTTTTCCTGTTTTCTCCAAGGTGAGTTTTAAAGGTCCCTGTCTTTACTTGCCTTCTCATTTGTAAAATGTATAGCTCACAGATGAGTTCTTAGAATTTGATTTTCCCAGTGGCATCTCTGTTATCATCGTAGCTATTTTCCTCTCAGGATCTAAAAGCTGAACTGAATCAAAACTGAATCTACTAGGGTCTGTTTTTTGGAAGACCATGTCCCTATTTCACAGCATTATTTGTTTGTATTTGTGTCTTTTTCTGGTTTCATTAGTTTTTATGGTCTCTGTTTTCTGAGAAGCACTGAATTCCTTGGGTTCTTTTTTTTGGGAGGATTGCTTTTTTTTGGGTTTTTTTTGTGGCATTCTCTTAGTGTTGGATTCAGGCTTTTTTTACACAGGCCTCATGAATAATCTTAATATACTTGTGCTGTAATTAATAGCTGTTTCCAGTGTCTGAGACAAATGCCAAGTTGGCTCCTTTCTGGATGGGTGTTTGGTGTTTGTTTGCAGTACAGACAGGGATAAACACTCTGGTTTTCCCTCTCCTCCCAGCTGGGCCACCCCTCCCTGTGGGGAGGCCACTGCTGCTCTGTGCCCATTTTGTTCTGCACTGCCAGCATCTGGGATCTGGGAAGAGGAGTCAGAATTTGGGCTGTTGGTTGGGGTATTTTTAGTTCAGGTATGACTGAACTTGCTGAAAGCTCCGGAGAAAACAACGTCTCAAGTCACTGTGTGTTTTGGGTTCAGATTTAACAAAGGTGTCCCAAGTCAGCCCTTCTGGAGGGAGCCAGTTTTTGGGTCAGAATAAGCTGCAATCCTTGTGCCAAAAGCCATCCCGTGGTCGTGGAGCATTCCCTGACACCCTTTATCCATTTATCCCTGGAATCCCATGGTCCTGGAACATTCCCTGACAACCTTTATCCCTGCCATCCCTTGTTCCCAGTCCATTCCCTCACACCCCTCATCCCTGCCATCCCATGGAAACAATTCCTCTTCCTTTGCAACCTACAGGAAAAAGCTCCATTAGTTTGGGAGTCTTAGTTTGCATGAGTGAAATGATTTTTTACTTCGTCTGTGGAAGGAACTTGGAAGAGGCTTTTGGAGGAAGAGCTCCTTTCCATGGTGGTTTTTTAGCCCCAATTTAGGGAACCGCGACTTTTTCACCTGCAGGGATGAGTTTCCTGCACCCTGTGTTGTCTCCTGACAGCTCATCCTGTTGTGTAGGTCCACCTTACAGGGGAATCCCTTCTCCTGTCCTGCTGGGTTGCTTTCAGTTTTTTGGGCAGTTTTGATCTCTTGGCTGTCAGCAATGTGTCTGCTGAGCCTTGGTTGGGGCAGGCAGAGCTGGGAGTGCAGTGGGAGCTTCCTGCAGGCACAGAGGCTGCTGCAGGGGGAGCCTGGTGCTCACACAGAGCTCCCCCAGCTGTGATTTTGGTGTGAGATGATTCTCTTTTTTCCCGCACAGGCATCTTTGCTTACCTGAATTACCATGTGCCCCGCACGAGGCGGGAGATCCTGGAGACCCTCATCAAGGGGCTGCAGCGCCTGGAGTACCGGGGCTACGACTCTGCAGGTACCTGCCGGAGCTCTTGGCAATCTGGGCTTGAGCTCATGCCTTTCCTGTGACTGTCAATGCTTTCTACCACCTCTGCTTTTGAACACAGACAGCATGTGCCTGTGGTCAGAGGTTTGGATTCATTTCAATATACAAATTTCTATAAGCATTCTTGATTCTTTTTCCTAAGGCTTTTAAAAATACTGCGAAGGTGATAGGAGGAAAACTTAGTTCTAATCTAAGGAGTTTCTTGCCTTTATGTGACAGGCCAGCTTTTGGAGAAAGGGCTCAGGAAGAATCAAAAAGGGCAGAATTTGTTTACATAAAATACTGTAATGACTTCTGCACTTGACCCTCTTTCTCCATGTTCCACGGTGCGGTTTAGGTGTGGGACTGGACGGCGGAAATGACAAAGACTGGGAAGCCAATGCTTGCAAAATCCACATTATCAAACAGACGGGGAAAGTGAAGGCTCTAGATGAAGAGGTTCACAGTAGGTATCTCCCTTTCCTTCTCTCACCTAGTTTGTGTTTTGAATATCACCTGTTTTACCCACAAACACGAATTTCCAAGTAACTTGTGTGTAAAGAGCCAGAGGTGTAAACGCTCAGAGATGAGCTGTGAAGATCATCCCTGTGATCCTGGTGATCCTGTGACTGCTGATGTGAAGTTACAGAGGAATCCTAATTTTTCCAAGACAAATGAGTTGCATCCTACTAAAGTAAAATAGACCCGAAATACATCGTGGGAAACAGATTCCAAAAAGAAAAACTCCAGAACAAACAACCAAAAAACTCCTTGAAATAGGGATAGAGGAATTAGCAGGAGATAATTACCAAGACCTAGAGCTTGGGCAGAAGGAGAGATGCTGTAGGAACCTCCCCTGCTGGGTTTTGAATGTTCCCATGCAAGGCTTGTCCCGGCCAGAGCCGTCCCTCCCCTGGGGCTGGGCTCTGCAGTAGCTCCAGGAGGGCACTGGTGTGTGTCACTGTCACACTGGTGGGACTGCAGGCACCCAGAGCTTCTGCATCTCTTTCTGCTTCTTTCCTTTCCCTTTATTTAAACCTTAATTCATTAAATCTGAGCTCAATGCAAAGATGCACAAAGTTGTTGGGAGTTTAATACAGGCTGTGTGAGGGCGGGGAGATGCTTTTCAGAGCAGTCAGGATCTCACATTCAGAAGCTGCTGTGTTGGTGTAATTCAAGTGTTTTTAACCCATTCTTGTGTTCACCTGAGCTGCAGAGTGCTGAGTGACCCAGAGGGAGGTTGGTCAGTCTAATCTTAGTGTGGAGCCAGAAAGCCCAGACGAGTTGGGGTGTGTGGTACAGAAATAGCAGATGGACAGATGGTTCCTAAAGGGAGGTTTGTCTGTTTTAAGAAACAGAATACACAGTTTTCAAGAGACTGTGGAAACATTTGTGGAGTAAGAGGAGTATTTTTTTCCAAGAAATATTCATGCTTGTGGCAGACTTTGGAGAGACAGGGGTTAGGGATGCATGAATAACCGTGGTGGTGTGCAGGCTCAGCCACAGGTGACAGGATGGCAAGGAGCACCCCTGAGGTGCTCAGGGTTAGATTCTTCCTTAAAGGTTACTTTTTGTTTTGGAGGAGCGATGAATGCAGGGCTGTTCTCTGTATGCATCTGCCCTGCCCTGAAACCCCTTGAGGTTTTGGTCAGCCTTTGATGATCCTAAAGGTCTTTTCCAACCTTGACAACTCTGTGATTCTGTGTCCTGTGGGATTTGGTGGCCCTGTCAGCATTGCTGTCCTGACCTGGGGTATGGACAACCCCTCAGGACTAAAACTTTCTGCTGCAGAGCAACAGGACATGGACCTGGACATCGAGTTTGACGTTCACCTGGGGATTGCCCACACGCGCTGGGCCACGCACGGCGAGCCCAAGCCCGTGAACAGCCACCCTCAGCGCTCGGACAAGAACAATGGTCAGTGCCTTCCTCAGCTCCCTCAGCCCCTGGAGCCTCGGGGAGTGCTCCTGTCCCCTCTGTGTCCGGGGAGGGGGGGGCTGGATTTAGGCACTGGGCTCGTTCGGGCCTTGGTGCTGAGCCCAGCTGTGGTGAAGCCACAGGGCTTGGTTTGGCTTCCAGCCACGGGGAAGTGAGGGATCCCAGGGCTCCCAGGAGGGCTGGGGTGGGTGCCCAGGGCTGGGCTGGGTGTGTGGGCAGAGAGCAAGGAGGAGAAGACAGAACGAAATGAGATGGTGAGAATTTCCTGTTCTTTGGAATGGAATTTCATAAACTTTTTGCCCCGAATCCCTGCTGTAGGGAAGGGGGTTGGTGTGCCTGTGGCTGTCACAGTGTGGGCTGTGCTGGCTATGCCCGCCCAGGGAACAGCAATGCTCAGCTGGCAGCAGCAGCAGCAGCAGGGAGTTCATTGCTCCTAGCAGGATGGAAGCTGCCAAGTGCTCAGGTGCCTCCAGGGGCTTTGCAGGGTCTGGGTAGCCCTGGTGCCTCTCAGGTCACTTTTATACCCCCCACCCCATGCCATGCCAGAGGGCAGATCAGGGAGTGGCAACAGGAGGTGAAATGTGCTTTATTCTGCTGAGAGCCTGTCCCTCAGTGACATGAGTGGGTTCTGCTGCCAGGCTGGAGCTGGCACGGGGCTGAGTAGGGCCTTTCCTCTGTCCCCAGAGTTCATCGTCATCCACAATGGCATCATCACCAACTACAAGGACCTGCAGAAATTCCTGGTGAGTGACCCCTGGGGGGGTGAGACCCTCCCTCCTTTCCCACTCCCCTTTGCTCTCACACCCTTCCCAGCTCACTCCCCCTCTTGTATTCTCACTCTCATTTCCCATTTACATTCCACACTCGCCCTATTCCTTCACTCACATTGCTCCACTCACTCCTAACTCGTCTCTGACAGTGATTTCCCCACTCACATTTCCTCTTACCTCCATTCATGTTCCCACACTCATATTTTTTCACTCCCACCCATATTTGCACTCCCACTCCTTCCTTTGCATTCACAGACTCTCCCATTGTGTGAGTATATTCTCACATTTACATCCCCCGTTCCCTCCCTACCTCATTCCCACTCCCCTCATTCTCCCACTCATGACATTCACACTCACCACCCTGCTCACATCCCCAACTTCCACTCCCTCCTCATCCCCCACTCATTCTCCCACTGAGACTTTCCCACTCAAACCCCCTCCTTTTGTCCCTCCTACCCCGACTCCCCCTCACATTCTCACACTCACTTCTTTACTCTCACACTCCCACTCACTGCCCTCTCCTCCTCTCCTCATATTCTTGCAATTCAAAAGGCAGGAGGGCTGGAAGGAAAGTGTGGAAAGAGGAGAAAAAGAAGGAAAAAAAAGAAAGGCAGGGAGGTAAAAGGAAGAGGAAAAGCAGAGCAAAGGATGGGAGAAAAGAGGGAAAAAGAATAAGAAAACCTGCAGTATGAAACGGTAAAAGGAAAGGAAAGACACAGAGGTGGGAAAGAAAAGTAAAAGGAGGAAAAAGGAAAGGCAAGTAAAAGCAAAGATGAGGGAAGAAGGCAGGAGCAAGGAAAAGGAAAAGCATGAGAAAAAGAGGGGAGAAAAACGTAAAGGCAAGGTGAAGGAAAGGCAGTACTAAAACCAAGAAGAAAGAAAGGAAAGGTGGGAAGGAAGGAAGGGGAGGAGGGCAAAGCAAGGTGGAAGGGGAGGCAGAGGGCTGGTCACCCACACGGGCTGTCCCTGCAGGAGAGCAAGGGCTACGACTTCGAGTCGGAGACGGACACGGAGAGCATTGTCAAGCTGGTCAAGTACATGTACGACAACCGCGACAGCGACGACATCAGCTTCTCCACGCTGGTGGAGAGGGTCATCCAGCAGCTGGTAATGCTCGGAGGGACAGACAGCCCAGCCCAAAATAACCCCTGCAGCACCGGCCGTGCCACTGCTGCAGGATGCTCGTGCTAAGGCATGGCTTTGTCTCCCCCGCCCCTGACTATTCATCTCGGGTGTTCTGTTTTCTTCAACACTTGTCAGTATTCATCTGGGAAATGTCTCAGTCCTTGGCCAGCACCTGGAGGCTGCCAGCCCCTGGCTGGGGTGGTGACAGCAGGGTGGGAGCTGGCCTGCAATAGTCTGTGCTGCTTCCAGGCCTTCCCAAAGCTCCTGCTTTGGATTGCTGCTGACCCCTGGTGGGAGCTGCTCTGCCTCCACTGCCTGGTTGTGTGCAGAAGCAGGATCCACCACAGTTCACTTTCACCCCACAGCACCTGCTTCAGCTGGGTTTTCATGGTTCACCTGCCAGGAGCTGTTGTAGCAGCAAGCCAAGAACTCGTGTTGCTGGCAGGTTGTGACACCTCACCTGATCAAACACCCTCAAGTTTCTTTTAGCAGAAGTTTCTTCCAGTGCTGCTTTTAGCAGATCTTTGCCTCTCACTGTACCCTGACCTAAAGCAGAAGCCACTTGGATAACCAAGGGAGTCTGAGTGTCTCTCCAGGGGTTCAGGAGAATCATTCAGTGGTTGAAGATGTGCTGCCAGGCTCAGGGGAGGGATGTCCTTCCAGGATGGGGCTGGAGCTAATAGGTGGTTCTGGAAACATCTGTGAGACCTCTTTGTCTGTTCTGTGTCCACAGAAACACAGGACCAGTTTCTGTGCTGGGAACACTGAAACAGTGCCTGGGCCTCAGCTGAAGGGATAAACAGTTTGTTGCTCTTGTTGCAGGAAGGTGCTTTTGCCCTTGTGTTCAAGAGTGTTCATTACCCTGGACAGGCAGTTGGTACCAGGTGAGTGTTGTCATGGGAGGGAACATTCTTGCACCCTGTCACTTGTTTTTGTGCCCCCAAGTTAGAAGATTGAGTAGAGATTGTTCTCATCACACTGTATATACTGGGGAGAGGGTGGTTGTTGTTTTTAATTTCCTTTCTCTTGTTTTCCATCTATCATAACAGAAAGTTCCCAGAAATATTTTGGAAATTTCTTATTGACCAGCTGTACCACATCTGGTCTAGAACAGCTTTGTTTTGGTATCCTCTGGTTATGATTTGAAAGGAGATGATTTTACCTTTTCCTTTGTGCTTGCTCTTGTGGCAGCACTTGGACAAGTCCTCCACTTGGCCTGGAATTTAGGCCAGCCTCGTGTTCAGGTTTCCTATCCCACTTTTAAACACCAGAATCAGCTGGGGTGGTCTCACTGGAGTGGAACTTCAGTCCCCAAACCTGTTTGTAGGAATGTTCAGTGAGGAACAGTCCCTGGTTCAGGTGTGCAGTGACTCTGGAGAAGTTTGTCTAACCTTGATGCAGGTTCCTCTCGTGTTCTTTATCCCGTGATTCTTTCCGTGTTTGCAGCAGCAGCAGCTGCTCAGGAGGCTCTGGCTGTGCCCTGATGCAGCTGAGCTGCTGCTAGGGGGCCGGACCCATGGGTGGGGGTGTCCCCAAGAGCTGAGGCTGTCCTGTGTCCCTGTCCCTGCAGGCGAGGCAGCCCCCTGCTCATCGGTGTGCGCAGCGAGCACAAGCTCTCCACTGACCACATCCCCATCCTGTACCGCACAGGTGAGTGAGGAGCAGCTCCCCTGGGGCCCCAGGGCCTGGGCACACCCAGCTCACACCCAGCTGTGTACAGCTGGAAATCGGAAATGAAACCATTGTGAGAGATGTTTTTTTAAAAGCAGGCTTTTAACCACGTGTTCTACCCACTATGTGCCTCAAGTTGGCCTCTAGTGTTGTAATCAAAGCTTTAATGTCCAGTTACTGCAAGGAAAATACATCTTAGTGTAGTAGAATAAAGTATAGTCATGGAGTAGTTTGGGATGGAAGGCACCTTTAAGTCCATCTTGTTCCAGCCCCCTGCCGTAGGCAGGGACACCTCCCACTGCCCCAGGGTGCTCCAAGTCCTGTCCAGCTTGGCCTTGGGCACTGCCAGGGGTGTTGGAATAGTTCAGTATAATCAATTAAACAGTACAGTTGAACTGCAGTCTCTATTCTGTGTGTGGCATGTTGGCATTTGTGAGCCTGGTGGTTTTCAAGAACAAAGATGAGAGGGCTTGGCACTGTCAGAGACCTTGCCAATCCCTTGGCACTGTCACAGGCCTTGCCAGTCCCTTGGCACTGTCAGGCCTTGCCAGTCCCTTGGCACTGTCACAGGCCTTGCCAGTCCCTTGGCACTGTCAGGCCTTGCCAGTCCCTTGGCACTGTCAGGCCTTGCCAGTCCCTTGGCACTGTCACAGGCCTTGCCAGTCCCTTGGCACCATCAGACCTTGCCAGTCCCTTGGCACTGTCACAGGCCTTGCCACTGTCACAGACCCTGTCTCTGCCACCCCACGTCATTTTTAGAAGCTGTTACCCTTCGTGGGACAATGTTCATGTTGTCTGTCCATCCTGCTCTCACACATGTTCTACCACCACAGACACCCTTGAAGATAAAAAGTGACCAAGGATTACTCTGTATTTCACTGTTGTCAGAGGAGTCTGAGCCTGTTCAGTCCCTGGGACGTGGACTTGTTCTGAGCATTGCAGGGATCCAAGGAATTGCTGCCCTGTCCTGCTGCTTCCTAACAGTAGTTGCTGATCCCCTGCTGCAAGAACCAGTCCCAGAAGCTTTGCCTTTTGATTGGATAATTAGCACTAATATTAATGTATTCATGTAATGCTGTATTTTTTTACTGATTATCTCAAGTTTGGTTTTTTTTTTTTTTCCAATTGCACTTCCAGCTGTACCATCTATGGATCATTCTTTTGATGGAATATCCATAAAAATGGAGGAAGGTGCCTACCAGAGAAAAGCTAACACTTGAAATTTCAGACAAATCCTTCAGTTCCTTAGGAAAGGAATTACAAATGGGGCCAAGATGCATTGTGTTTTTAATATGTGGTTATTGCTTTCCATGTAGTAAAGTGAAACTCGTGGGAGAATCAAAATTCCTTCTTGATCAGAAACACCACGAGCAACACACAGGAAAATCCACTCATCCCATTTCAAATACTGGGACATAATGCTCAGCATATGTGTAAAAACTGATGACAGTGCAGGTTGTACTGAGTGTTTCTGCAGCTCTGGCTACAGAAGGAAACTGTGTTTCCTTAAAAATAGCAATTACCTTAAAAATAAACCCCTAAAACAGGAGGCTGCTGCTAACCCTAGTGCATGCAAGCACTGCCCAAAATTCCTTCTGGAGTTTGGGTTGTCAGAGCTGTGTCTTCCCCTGACTATGGTGTGAGTTTGAGCTGCAGCCTCTGGTGGCAGCTCAGAGGTTGGCCTGAGGCTGGGACTTCCTTCCTCTCTTCATTTATTAGGGAAACCATATGTTACTCACTTGAAGTGCTTCAAAGCCAAGCCATCACATGATGGGATGAACCAAGCTCACATCTGAAGCAGGAGAGCCCTTTTCTGTGAGGGGGAGATTCTGTTTGAATCTGTAGAATCTGTAATGATCTGCAGAATCTGTAATGCAGGAAAGCAATGAAACATAATAAAGCCAATGCAGGGAAATGCTCTATTTTGAGAAACCAAATTTGCATGTTCTGATCAGGTCTGGGTTCTTCTGTGGGGAGTGGCCACTAACAGCTCTGCTCTGTCCCTTCTCAACACCAAATCAGTCTGTCCTGTCTCCACCACAAAGGCATTGTTTTCCTCATTGACTGACTTCATACCTGAACTGGAAAGCTCTAAATCACTGGCTGAGCGATTTTTCACTGAGTATCAACATGAAAGCAGTATTTTTCCTTTACATTTTCATCTGCAGAAATGGAAGTCAGAACACCACGAGCTTTACTTGCATCACTGAATCAGATCAGTGTCTAGTAGGTGAAACAACATCAGGATTGTGGAATAAATATAGAATGGAGTAACTTCAGTGTTACTGTTCTTCAGCAATAGTCCCATTTTGGGAGATAAGCTGATTAATCCACCCCCACCCTCCCTATACCCTGCACGATGACTGGCAAATAATTTTGCTGGAGGCTGGTGCTGAGCAGTAGGTGTTGGGTGCCTCATCTGCATCCCTGGTGAGCTTCACTGCTAAGAAGCAGTTTGGAGGAGGATGAGACAGTATTGGGAATTGCCAGAGTACTCTAGACAGGATCCTTGGTGAAACACTGAACTTCTAGGACAGATTTTCCCAAAGCTGACTCTCAGTCCTGTGTCCTCCAGCCCCCATGGATACCTCCCTGGCAGCAGTAAAGGTCTGCTTTTCTGATCAGGATGAGGTGCCTGTGTTTGGTTGTGTGGGAACAGGGCCGAGCTCTTAATCCTGGATTTCCTGAGCAGTGAGCTCAGACAGACAGAAATAGGTTTGGGTTCTACCTGCTTGAGGAGCAGGGTGGGCACACAGATGACAGCTCTGAAAGAATTTCCCCAGTGCTGAGAGTAACAGACCAAGAACAGTGCTGCTCCATTTCTGAGGGCTCAGGAGAGTCTCACCAGAGAGGAAGATGGGAGAAATTTAAAATGATCAGCAGGGCAGGTTTAATGGGGAAATGTGGGGAAGTGTGGCTGCTCCTAAAGCACCTTGAATTCTCTGCCAGTGGAGCCACACAAAACTTTTCCTGATGTTTTTCTCTAAACTTCAAACTGCACTGATGATGCAGACTTCTTAAAAAGCAATAAAACTCTTGCAAAACCAACTGAGGATGGGCACAGAAGCACAAGTGCTGCTGTTCTGTTTGCTGTGCCCACCTGCAGGCAGAAAAATAATGCTTCATGTTGGTACTGTGCCTTGGGGCCTCAGCTGGGTGTCACCTGTGCCCAGGTGTGTCACCTGGGCACCCCTGACCCTCCTGTCTCCTAGGGAAAGACAAGAAGGGGAGCTGCAACCTGTCCCGAGTGGACAGCACCACCTGCCTCTTCCCCGTGGAGGAGAAAGCTGTGGAATATTACTTTGCTTCTGATGCCAGGTAGGCTTTTCCAGCACCTCTGGTGTATGTAGAAATATCCTGTTAGAAGCTTTCTTGAACAAGAGGTGGGGAGGCTCTGGTTTCTTTGTGAATAAAGTAAATTGTGTGCATGTGGCCATTACTTTAAAAATACCAACCAAAACAGAGGTTCTGTTGAAGTAATGAACACTGGCCTTGGAATAGTGTTAACGTTCTTCAGGCTCATCTGTTGGTAGGATTTCCTAGTGTTAGGGAACCTGAGAGAGTACTGACCTAGATTAGCAGATGCTAATTATGAGGAGAATTGTGTTGATTCTCCAGGGATCTCTGCACACATGCAATTCCTTCATCATCAAAGGTGGTATATTAAAAGGAGTAAGGAGAGACCAGCAGTCTTAGCAGTGTTTTTGGGATTCTGTGGTTCAAGAGAAATGAGTGCTTGCTCCAGGAATGTAAAAATACGGCTGTGGTTGACTCTGCATCAGAGAATTGTGGAGACTGTCAGGACACCTCGATGTATTCTGGTTTTAGAGCTTTTCAGTGACACTCCAGGGAGTGCTGCTGAGCAGATCTCACATGCTTTAACAGGGGACAAAGCTGTCCCTGTTTTTACAGATGGGCAAAATGAGGGACAGGGAGGGACAGTGGCTTATCCCTCGGAAAAGCTCGGAAGGAACCTGTTCCTGTATTTGAGCAGCCTGTGCCCCAGGGCAAAACCCTGCCCTCCTAGCTGCAGCCAGATCCCACTGCTGCACATGCTGCTTTGTCTGAGCAGTGCAGAGCTTCTCCTCAGAGAGGCCCTGAAATCAATGGTGAGCTGGGTGGCAAAAATCCAGTTCCACCGGCAGCTGTGCTTGACAGGAATGGCCCGACTGTAACAGAGGAGGAAATTCTCGGCTCCAGAGCTGTGTGTGGGGTGATGGGGAGGGCTGCGCTCCCCAGAGCAGGCTGTGATGTGCCCTGTGTCCCCACAGTGCTGTCATCGAGCACACCAACCGCGTGATCTTCCTGGAGGACGACGACGTGGCGGCCGTGGTGGACGGGCGTCTGTCCATCCACCGCGTCAAGCGCACGGCCGGGGACCACCCGGGCCGGGCCGTGCAGACCCTGCAGATGGAGCTGCAGCAGATCATGAAGGGTGGGTGAAACACTCTGGAACTCGTGAGAAATGAGAGTTCTAAAGTGGGTGTGCATTTATTCAGCGCTGAGGTGCATGGGGGATACCTCCTCCCAAAGCACGGGCACCGAAACTTCAAACTACTAAAAGCCTAGGATTACGCAATATACATAATGCATATTCATGTTATAGCCCCGCCTAGTCCCGCCTACTCTCGCTTCGTATTCAAATGAACCAAAAGTTCTTTTGCATTTGCACCTCCCCGACTCAGGGGTTGTCGGGGGTCTCTGATGAAGGCTTCCAAACTCTTCATCGCACTTGAACTTTTCAGCTTTGTCTCTGGAGCATGAGTTTTAGCCCTTTGGGCACATTCCAGACCTTCAGATTAGTTCTTAGTGGTTTAAGGTTTTGGACTTACCACCTATCACTGGTAGCCTTGCACCCCTCACCTTGTTTGCAAATCCTGGCTCCGTTTATCACAAAGCAGTCTGCCTCTCCTCTCGATCTTTGCAAGCATAGTAAATGTCAGGCATTCCTCATTGTCTTGGTTTTTGATGAACTCTTCAGTTCCCTGCGTCAAGAGCTGCTGAGGGCACCTGGGGGCTGCCTCAGGGTGGGAGTCACCTGCTGCCATCCCCGCCCCAGTGGTGACAGGCTCTGCTTGCTGCAGCTGTAGCATCTCCAGGGACAGAGGTGCCACAGCCTGGCCTGGTGCTGTGTCACCCTCATGGGGAAACAACTCCTTACATGTCATATGTTGTAATAAATCAGCTGGGCCTGCATTTTCTTAGTGCAGAAAAGTCAATTCTTTATTCACGTAACTAATTTTACATAATTTTCACAGACCTCGTGTGTAACACCATTTGGCTATAGTAGTTTTATTACTACCTCATTCATTGGTCAGAAGGTGATTTTGGGTGTACCTGAGCTAAGGTTCAGGTGTTTACATTTTTCCTTTATGGGTTCTCATGGAACAGATCTCATGTTTATGCAGGTGCTACTTGTTTTCTCCCTCAGAATAGGCTGTTGTGTTGAAGAACTCTCATTCCCAACATTGCTTTGCCTGGGAACTTGCAAGCTGCACTTAGAAGTGACAGGCTAGCTTTGGCAATCTAGCAGAGCAAGGCCTGATTTCATAAGGCCTTTCTTTTCATAAGGCATATCTTTTACTTGTCTGCAGCATAGTAGGGCTTTCCCTCTAATCATTGACACCTTACTGAGAATTGTGGGGCTGAAGGTTTTGCCTCTTGCTTGGAGCCATCTGATTTTTCTAAGACTGTTCCCTCATAAACTTGCCAGTCTGGATCTGCCCTTCACTGACACCTTCCAGAAACTTGAATCAAGTTCTCATCATGAGCTGATATTTTGCAGAAAAAGTAGTATCAGTTTAATAAGCTTTGGCTGGTCCAAGCTTTTCCCTATCCCTATATACTCAGGAAAAATGGCAATTGCCAGGAGGTAATTTAAATTTAAGTTACCATCAGGTAAAGTGTTCTAATCTGTTTTCTGTCTTTCTTCATAGGTAACTTCAGCTCGTTCATGCAGAAGGAAATATTTGAACAGCCAGAATCTGTTGTTAATACAATGAGAGGAAGGGTCAACTTTGATGACTACACTGGTAATTAAGCTTGGGCCCCTCTCACTCCTGACAGCTCAGTATCCAGTAGTTACTCAGGGTGGCTACAGGGCAGGAAGTGGCTACAGGTGATGGAGACCCTGCTGGTATGAGATGAAGTGTGTGTCAGAGCCTCCAGAATTCCATATGCTGGTGGAAGGTCCCATTTTATGATGTTTTTTGGCACAATGGGTGGTGGGGATGGTAACGTGCTGTTAGCACCAGTGATCTTGGGAACTTCTTTACTTTGCCACCCTGATCTTGCTCTCTGGTCTTGCTCACAGTGAACCTGGGTGGGCTGAAGGATCACATCAAGGAGATCCAGAGGTGTCGGCGTTTGATCCTCATCGCCTGTGGCACGAGTTACCACGCAGGAGTGGCAGTGAGTGCTGGGCTCTGGAGCCTGGGCTGGCCTCAGTGCCAGAATCAGAGAGTGGGATGGGCTGCAAGGACCTTAAAACCCATCAGTGCCACTCCTGCCACGGGCAGGGACACTTTTCACTGTCCCAGGTTGCTCCCAGCCCTGTCCAGCCTGGCCTTGGACACTGCCAGGGATCCAAGGGCAGCTACAGCTTCTCTGGGCACCCTGTGCCAGGGCCTCCTCACCCTCTCAGGAAGAGTTTTGTCCTAATAATCTCATCCAGGTCTACCCTTTGTCAGTTTAAAGCCATTCCCCTTTGTCCTGCCACTCCATCCCTTGTCCCAAATCCCTCTTCAGCTGTCTTGGAGCTCCTTCAGGCACTGGCAGAGGCTCTGAGGTCTCCCTGGAGAGTGCATGGAGCGTGCCAAGCAGATTAAGGATTGATTTCAGGTTAGGGATTGATTCTTGCCCTTAATCAGGTTAAGAGTAAGCAAGTGCACACAGGTGAATGAAGAAAGACCCCTGTGAAAGTTGCAAACTCTAGACTCAGTTCACAGCAACAGCAGGAGGAAATAAAAGCTGATGAAGCTGAACTTGGGGAAGTGGTTCCTGTGACTTCCATGGCTGTGGAAAACAAAAGCTGCTCTGTTAAGAAAGGCAGCTGGCAGGGGAGGGACAATGCAGGAGCAGAATGCCAACGGGCTGCCAGGAGCCAGGTGGGGTCCAGGCTCGGCCTGGATGCAGGGGGGTGGTGGTTTGAGTTTTTCAGGCTGCAGTCTGATGCACACACAGGACATCCAGCATTGCATAATTTATATGAAGGGTTATATAATAAGTGAGCCTTACTGAAGAAAAATCTGCATTTGAGGGAGGAGTTGGCCTCACAGGCTGGTGGTGCCAAGGAAGGCAAGGTTGCTTCTCCCAGCGCTTGTTGGTGACGTGAGTGTGGTCAATACTGAGTAATTAAAGTATAATCCAGCACTGAGTTTCATACAGGGTTTTAACAGTAATATTTTCCAGTGTGGCAGCTAGAAAGCTTTTTTTGTGCAAATCCCTGTTTTTATAACCATGATGTAATAGCTGATTGCTGCCCTTCCTTGTGCCAGACCCGCCAGGTGCTGGAAGAGCTGACTGAGTTACCTGTCATGGTGGAGCTGGCCAGTGACTTCCTGGACAGGAACACCCCTGTGTTCAGGGATGATGTCTGCTTTTTCCTCAGCCAGTCAGGTACGGGCTCCCCTCCCACCCCTCACTCCCTGCTGCCCAAAATTGAGGGAGGAGGCAGCAGGGCCCAGGCTGGTGCCTGTCTATGGGACTGTGTGTGATGTGAGTGAGGGAGCACACTTAGGTTCCAGGGCTGGCAGCACCAGGGAGGTTCTGCTCCCTCCCTCTCCAGCTGCTGCAGGGCTCCTGGGGCTGACAGAAGTTTTGTTTCCTTGCTCTGCATCAATCAACAGACTGCAGAGTGCTGCTGAGCTGGGGAGGAAGGCAGCTCCAGTGTTCTCTGGAACAGTTTGAGTTCTCTAGTTAAAGCACCACGATATGGTGGATTGGAGCCACAGAAGAAATGAAACTCTCTGACATTAATAACAAAAAATCCAACTAACTTGGAATGGAGTGGGAGATAATTTATATGAGGTACTTCATATTTTCAAGGACAACTGTGATACAAAACCACTTTTTTTCCCCCTTAGTTGCATTTCAGGTTTTCATGGCTGATCTTCAGCTGGGACACTAAAACCAGTCAGCACTTTGTCTCCACAGGTTAAAACACCCTTTTGGGAGCAATTTTTTTCTTCTCTGTAGTGACTTTTTTCTTCTCAGTACCAAGTGTCTCAGAATATCCTCTCTGTGAGGGGCTCAGGGTCAGGTTCTCCCTGGGGTTTTTGTGTCCCTTAGAGCCAGTCCTGTCCCAGTCTAACAGGGAGCACTCCTGAGGGCACAAAAGGGGCTCCATCTTTCCCTGAAGTGTTGGATGTGGCAAACTAACAAAGATTTCCCTAGAACCTGAGTTTGCTCATCAGGCAGTGCAAACCCAAAGTAAACAGTGAGCTCAAATAACTTGCTCCCCCCACCCATAAATCTGTTTTTAGAGTAGAGTCCCACCCTGCACGTCTGGCTTTGAGTGGAGCACTGTGCAGGACAGGTTTGGGCACTAAGGAGAAAGGCACTGATCTCACCTGTGGGGTTTTACCCTTTCCTGTCATCTCGCACGTGCAGGAGTGCCCGGAACTGTGTCCTTTCAGGACTAAAGCAAACTGGTGACACGAGCTGCAAGGCACAGCAGCTTCCATTCACAGCCCATCTCTGGAGCTCAGCCCATGAGCAGCTCAAGACATCCCTGGAATGTTTTCCCCCCTACCTCCCTGCCCAGATGAATTTTTATTAACCAGGAAAACGAATGAATTTGATTTTTGTTAAAGGGATAACGCTTGAACTGCCTTTTTTCAAACCATAGCAGAACACTGGCTTTTCCTTACAGCAAAGACTGCAGATGGGTTTTGTGTTTTGTGGGTGTCACTGCCCTGTGGTTAGGGTTGAGACTCAGTGTGCTGGGGCTGAAGTGGCTGCTGACACCTCTGTGGCTTGCAGGGAGCACAAACCCCAGGGCTCTGGTTGGGGAGTTTGTGCATTTCCCACCTGCAGTGGCAGCAGCGCTGAGCACCTATCCTTGTGCTCCCTGTGTTCCCTTTGTTCCCTGTGGTTCTTTGTGTTCTCTGTGCTTCCCTGTGTGTGTGTTCTCTGTGTTTCCGTGTGTTCTCTGTGTTTCCGTGTGCTCCCCTCTGCTCTCCTGTGTGTGTTCCCTGTGTGTGTTCCTGTGTTCCTGTGCTCCAGGGGAGACAGCAGACACTCTGATGTGCCTTCGGTACTGCAAGGAGAGGGGAGCCCTGACCGTGGGCATCACCAACACCGTGGGCAGCTCCATCTCCCGCGAGACCGACTGCGGCGTGCACATCAATGCAGGCCCCGAGATCGGCGTGGCCAGCACCAAGGTAGGCACAGCCCAAGCCCTCCCTGCTCTATGGGGCTGTTCCTGCTCTGGAACCCCTCGTTGGCTGTGACAGAGCCCCCTGCTTACCTGCTGCTGCTGCTGGCTGTGCAGCTACAGACCAGCAGCACCCTAACTTCTCTGTCCTGCAGCTTGCAGAGGGCTTTTGTTTGGGGTTCCTTAGAAAAATTAAATAATCGAAGGAAACTGCATTAAACATTGAAAACAAATGGGTCTCAGAGGGAATGATTCTCTAAGAGGCCAGAATTCTCTTTGCCATTGTTTGTCTCGAGGTGCAGGCTCAGTTTAAACTAAGGTCAGAGATGAAAAACGAAATTAATAGACAAGATAATGGAAACTTTGTCTGCATGTAACTCCCTCACTGTCTCTGCTTTACCAAAGAAAATGGGATATTAAAACTGTACTTTTAACAAATGTTGGAATGGTCTTTTACAGAAACCTACTATTTGTGTCCAGGTAACAGGATTATTCTGGCAGTGTGAGATACAGTAACTTACTTTGCTGCCTTTCATTTTGGTGAAGTGCTTCTGCATGGTGAAATCTGCTTTGGTTTAGTTATATTTAGAGGCGAGATGATGTCAATCTGTTACATAAATTCAGCCAAAAACCACATTTGAGTTTAATAGTTCATTGGGGAATTTGATCATGGAAAATTCGTGAGTCTCTTACAAGAAACTCTTGAACGAGCTGTTTGTCCCTGTTGTTTTCACGTGGCCAACAAGTTACAGTTTGGAGATAAATGGCATTTTTTCTCTGGTGATATGGGGTGTTACCAAAGCTGTGCATATATGAAATAAAAACTTGAAAAGTTTCTGCCCTGAGGTTGCCCAGAACTTCCTTTTGAGAATATTCTAAACAGCCCAGGCATGTTAATGTGGCTGCTGGGTACTGTGGACTTCTGCGGCCTCCAGCTGCACGAAGCAGAGCAGCTCCCATTCCACAGCAGACTCCTGCAGGCAGCATCACTGCAGCTTTTCTGGGTTCCTTCAAAGCCACTTCAATTTCCTCCAGTGCAGCCACATGAAAGTTTGTCTGGTCATTGCTTAGGAAGGGACAAAAATATCCACACCTTGATCTTACCTCTGCATGACTTCAGTGCCAGGCTGGCCCCAAGCCCTTTTCATAACTTCTGTCTTGCAAAGACCTCAGAGGCCAAACTGAAGCTGCTATTGCAGTGTCCCTCAGGTGTCCCTGTGACCAGACCTGCCCTGGTATGAGCCCTCCTGTCACCTGTCTGTGCAGGGATTGTCCCCGAAGACAAGAACAGCTCTTACAGACAGGGGAAGAATTCAGGAGAGTCTGTTCTTGAAGAAGGCAGGTGGGAAATCACAGCTGCCTTTGTGTTCCCTGAGTGTGGTCCAAAAAAATCCCAGCTGGTTGAGATTCGTTGTCATGGGCTTCCACTAAACATCTCCAGTCAGTGCCCTGCTCCTCTCTAGTCCTCTCAGGAGTCACTTGCAGTAAAGGAGGACCTGGGCATGGTCACAAAATAGAGTTTAGCAGTCACCAGGAAAGCTCAGAATAGAAAACCTTGGTTGTTGTGTCTTAATCTCCTGGAGCATGAGGAGATCATCACGTGTCCCCATTGACATGTGCCCAAGTGACATTTGCCTCGTGAGCCCACGTTCATTTTCGCTTCTTACTTGGAATCAAAGCTTCCACTTGGAGTCACGTTGAGAGCAAGGGCACAGCTGGGCTGAGGATTTCACTGTTTGTGCAGCAGTGACATTTCTTGTGCCCCACACCAGGCCTACACCAGCCAGTTCGTGTCCCTGGTGATGTTTGCCCTGATGATGTGTGACGACAGGATCTCCATGCAGGAGCGGCGCAAGGAGATCATGAGGGGGCTCAAGGGGCTGCCAGGTGGGACCCTGGTCTTGAGGGGGGGCCAGCAGGGCTGGGGGAGCTCAGCAGGGCTGGGGGGGCCCAGCAGGGCTGGACCCTGGGCTGGACCCTGGGCTGGGGGAGCTCAGCAGGGCTGGACTTGCAGGGAGGGGCTGGGGGGGTCAGGAGGGTGGTGAGGCTGTCACCATTCCTTGTAGCCACCTTCCCTCAGGTGTCTCCAGGCCACCAAACTGGAGCAGGAAATCTGAGCTGTGTGAGTGAGGGGTGCAGTGTGAGGCACACACGTGAGCACACTCAATCTGAGTTCTTCCCTTTCCCTCTAGACTTGATTAAAGAAGTGCTGAGCATGGATGATGAGATCCAGAAGCTGGCCACAGAGCTGTACCATCAGAAGTCTGTCCTCATCATGGGACGTGGCTACCACTACGCCACGTGTCTGGAGGGAGCGTTGGTAAGATTTCTTTTTTTAAAGCTGACTCAGACACAGCCACAGACTTCAGACCTGAGCAACATCTGGCTCCAGGTGCAGCTGTAAGTGCAGCCATGCTCTGGTGTGTTGGCCAGCACTGAGTTAAATGGAAGGCCCTGGCACAGGGTGCCCAGGGAAGCTGTGTCTGCCCCTGGATACCTGGAAGTGCCCAAGGCCAGGCTGGGCAGGGCTTGGAGCAGCCTGGGATGGTGGAAGGTGTCCATGCCCACTGGGACTGGATGGGTCTCAAGGTCCCTTTCCACCCAAACTGTGCCATGATTACAACTGTCTGAAAGTCACTGTGACAGTGCTGAGGCTGCTGCAGTGGGTTGGAAGGGTGTATTTTCCGTGTTCACACTGGGAATGCTTTACTAGACAAACTGAGCACCCTAATAAATGGAAAATGGAAAATGGAAAATAAATGGAGCTTGTACTTTCCAAACCCACATATTGCAGTTTTTGCATTTGAGGAGGTTGCTGTTGTTCCCAGTGCTGTGTCCCCACTGCCATGCAAATGTGTTCTCTTTGCCTTTGCCTGCCCAGTCAGGCTGGGAGGGTGGCTGTGCTGTGGCTGTGGTGGCTGATGGCGAGTTCTAAGGGCTCTGGTGCTTTGGTGGCACAGCTGGAAGTGTTGGTGGCTGCAAACAGCCCAGCTCAGGGTCACTGCTTGCATCTGGGTTTTTGGATCGACTCATCTGTATCTGAGAGGAGCCAGAACTGAGTTGCACGAGTGCAAGAATTCACAGAGATGGTTACAAAAATATTACAAGATTGCTCAAAGATTCATTCATTCCTTTTTCCCCTCTAGAAAATTAAAGAGATCACCTACATGCACTCAGAAGGGATCCTGGCTGGGGAGCTGAAGCACGGCCCTCTGGCCCTGGTGGATAAGCTCATGCCTGTGATCATGATCATCATGAGAGACCACACCTATGCCAAGTGCCAGAACGCTCTCCAGCAGGTCATTGCACGGCAGGTGAGGGCCTGGCAAGGTCTGCAGTCCTCCAGAGGTGATGCTTTTAATAGAAAAGTAGTACACAGACACTCAGACTGTCCACTTTGTGAGTTCAGTAAATACTGTGGGCATTTCAACAGCAGTTTTTGCAGCAATTGCAGAAGCCTGGCATGGTCTGTTTAACCCTCAAGTACCCCACAGGGCTGCCCAGGGGATGTGAAGCTGTTTGCTTCTAAATAAAGCATTAAATTTTGCCACTGGCACTCTGCACAGAAGCAAGGAAAGAACTTTCCAGATCTTCCCTTCAGCATTCCCCTCTGTTGCAGGGCCGGCCTGTGGTGATTTGTGACAAGGAGGACATCGAGACCATTAAGAACAACAAAAGAACAATCAAAGTTCCCCACTCAGTGGACTGTCTGCAGGGGATCCTGAGCGTGATCCCCCTCCAGCTGCTGGCCTTCCACCTGGCTGTACTCAGGGGCTATGATGTGAGTACAGCACTCCTTCCCCCTCTCTCCTGTGTGCTGCTGTGTGCTGGGTGATGCTGCCAGCCTCGGGGGGTCTCTGTGCCACTGCTTGAGCTGCTGCAGTGCCCAGGGCAGGGCCAGCTGTGGCCAAAGCAGAACTGGGAGGAGGCTCAGGACGCGTGGCTGAGTGTGGTGCAGCTGAGCTGGGATGTGTGCCTGTGGTGTGGTAGGAGCAGCCAGGCTCTGGAGGGCTGTAGGGAGCTAAAAGGAAGGTGACAATCCTCAGAAGGGTGTTTGGCAAACAGTTTAGTGTTAGCTGTTTGATCTTAATACAGACACTGGCCTCCACCTGTTGTCAGTCACCTCTTACCACTGGAACCATGTGGACTAAGGGACTCGCTCCTTAGTTCTGGCAGAGCAGTTGTAAGGAGTTGTAATTAAAGTTGTGGGCTTTTTTCTGCACTGATTGGCCTAAATTAACGTGAGAATATGTTGGATTGTTTTCAGTTGAAACACAGGATAGACATTCCACACGTTACAAAGTTATACACAAACAAACAATGTGTGTAAATACTCACAAGCCTGTTCTTTCTCCTCCCTCTCTGCAGGTTGATTTTCCAAGAAATCTGGCCAAGTCCGTAACTGTAGAGTGAAAGATCATCTGAATCATAGGGGCAAAGGGGAATTAAATGAAAGACTTTTTTTGGTACCAAAATAACTCGATTTTAAAGCCCCCTAGGTAAATCTTATTTTGGTAAATCGTTGTTTGTGTATAAGAACACCATAATTCCATTACATTAGTGATTGTCCAATTGATTCCACATGCTATGTCAATAGCTCTGGGTTTTTTTGATCAGTAGACTTCCATGAAAGATGTTAAATCGTTTTCCTTAAAGATTGCTGAGTCTTCTAGGTAAGGGGCCCTCCACTTTACTCTGAGCTGATGTCATTGTCTCTTACCCAATGTGGCTCATTCCAGTCACTGATGAGAAACCTCTGAAGGAATTAATCAATGCCCTGTCATGCTCTCAGTCAGTGAAGCAGACACCAGGACATACAACTGGAACAAGAGCTGGTACTAGTCATGCTTGTGTAGCTATTTTACCAGTGGATGAAACTGTAGACAAGCCTTTGGGGTAAATTCCTGCCTCAGATGCAAAAGGGAATTCAGCTGAGCTGACACAGCCTCTTCCTCTGGGTACCTGGTGAACGTGCCAAGAGCTGCTCCAGGGGGGTTTTATCTATGCCAAAAACAGAGCAAGTGACAATCTCATAGCCACAGTGGCCATGGCACCATGTGCCCCAGCATGGCCAGTGGGACTGGGAGCTCTGGCTGCCCAGTGGGGCTGAGGGCAAGGAGGAGAGTCCAGAGTTCACTCAGAGCTGCTGCCTGCTGCTCCTGGGGGCTGCCTGGGCCTTCTTAAAACAAGTGGAAATCTTCCTCTGCTGAGGATTTTCCCCTTGAACTGAGGGGCACTGTGAGCACACCTGGGTGACCCAGCTGTGTGACACACCTGGGTGACCCAGCTGTGTGACAGACCTAAAGGGGGTAAAAGGCTCCATAAACACGACAGAAATAAATACCTTAGTAATATTTCTATAAGAAGCTTGAAGATAATAAAAAATGACACAGAAAATGTATCTTCAGGGCTCAAAACCTGACTTTCAGAGTCATCAAAGGGCAGTTATTATGTATTTCCTAATGTGAAAAGGTGAACTTCCTCCCATCTTGCTGGGTTTTGAATTAGTTTTACACAGGCACTGAAAAACCATGCCACAAGGTATAAAATGGTTCTGGTGAATATTCCAGGTCATTTACTGCCCCTGAAAAAAGGCTTTAGTCAATGCAGTGCTTGGGGACTGCCCAGTGTCCTGCCAACCCCAGTTCCCCTGGCACAGGGTGACCCAGTCACCCAGGCTGGTCCATGGCTGCCCTGGTAAGGTATTCCCAAAGACTCTGTGGCAATTCTGCTTAGTCTCAACCCACAGGGACTCTTCCACTTCAATGCAGTGTCAGCTCAAGGCTCAGTTTCGTTATGAAAATGAAATGCTGCGTGCCTGGAAGCAGCTTCTCAAAGCCAGTGTATGTGTTTCTTAATCTGTCATATTCTGACTATTAATTTATGAACACATTGTGCTGCCAGTGTCTGTTTAAGAACAAAGTGGTAAATGCTGCATTTTAGTTCAGCAAATGCTGTGTGTGAGGCACTGCCCTGTGACAGCTGTGCCTCTGCCTAAACATGACCTGTAGCCCTCCCTGCTTCACTGGAGGATGATAATTGTCCTTAGGGAAAAAACAAGGCTGTGCAATGCTCACAGGTGGGGACAGCTCCTCCTCCTCTTCCTCCTCCTCCTCCTCCTAGCTTGCTTTAGAGGATCTATGCAGTGCTTGGTCCAGGCTGGCTACCCCTGGCACAGGATGTGCAGTGTCCCATCCTTTGTTCTCAGAATGGGATCTCATGTGAAGCAGCCCCACAAGGGAATGATTTGAGGCCCTTTTCCTGCACCTGCAGCCAGCATTGCTTTTACCCTGCCTTGCAAAGAGGGCTGCCCTGGGCAGGGGGACAGGCACCCCTATGAACACAAGCTGCTGCTCAGTAGAAGTTTGGTAGTGCAGGCTGTTACACGTTGGTGGAAATTATGTACCAAGAGGACCAAAGAGCAGGAGTGTGAGTTAGAAATGTCCAGTGTGACAGTGGAGCTGTAGGGGTCATGCTGAGATCTCTGGCTTTTGTCCTGTGCCAGACAAATCCTTGTTCCTTGTAGCTGGAGGCATTGATGGGTCAGGGGAGCAGGCAGTGCCCACCCTCTCCTCCTGCCTGGCTGTCAAACTCTGCCTGCCAAAACTGAGGGCTCAGAGCTGTTGCAGTAAGGGTGGTGGGTGCTGTAGGCTCAGTCCCAAAGGATGCTCTGGAGCACACCTGTATGAAGAATTCCTCTGCTGAGTGTGGCAGGGAACCTGTTAAGCATCTCCTTGTTGTTGTTGTTGCCATGCAGCGTGAAGTGAGAATGTACAAAGGACTCCTTTTAGCTTTCCTTACCTCATTTTGTCCACGTGTTGCATTTCAATGAACAGACGATGTTTCTCTTTTCCTTAGAAAACTTTTAGGATGTCTCGTGGTATTTATTAACAGCCAGTCAGTCTTCTGCTCTCCCAAATGAATGTTTTGCTTACTGAGCCAGTGAAATTCTCTCCTTCCTCACTGAGGTGTTGTAAAATTCAGTAGCCCGGTCTCTAAAATTGAACCACAGTTAAATACAAAATACAAATCAAGGCCTTTGCCATTTGGAATAGCAGCTGTTATTCCTGCCCACTTTGGCCACAGTTTATTTTGTTGTGAGTAACTCTGTTCCTTACCTGCAGAGACTCAGAGGGAAGCCCTGAGGTCTTGGGGAGTAATTGATTTGGTAATTAAACCAAAACCAGAGAGCTTCCAGCTCAGCACATGTTTCTGCTTGGCAGTTCTCAGACAGATTCCACACACATGGAAATTAAGCTGCACATGGAATATGCTGCAGCCAGAAAAGTTTTTTTTTTCCCCTGGGTCTGCTGCAGAAGGGCTGTGGGCAGTTTTCTCTCAGATTTGTCACAGCCAGCACTCTGTGCACGTTCTTACCGAGAGCCCATCAGTGCTTGGGGCTGTCCCTGGGCAGGGCCATCTCCTGTGTGAGGTGGGGAGACACTTCTGCCCAAAAAGCTGCCTGCACAGCCTGTGTTGGGTAACAGGCTCAATCCCCTTTGCTGAGAGAGCCAAAACACCACCCAGAGCCTTTCCCAGCCACGTGGGATGGAGCTTGTGGGCCCCACACAGAACCCTCAGTCTGGAGCTTTAAGCCCAGCCCAGACACAAAGGTCTGCTTGAGCAGCAGAGTGAAGCCTCTAAAGGCACAAATCAGACCCACACCAGTGCAGAACTGGGCCTTTCCCCTCCCTGGCTGTCCCTAGGAGTCCTTGATGCCATGAGCAAGTGCCTGTGGCTGTGTTGGATGGAGGGAGGGACTGAAATTAGCTTAAGTAACAGGTCAGTGTTTAGCTGTGGCTAATTTTAGATCCTACCTGAATGTACCAAACTTGCCTCATAGCATGGAGTCCTTCCTCCTCACCAGAAACAGGAAGAAGAAGAAGAAACAGAAGTATTTGGGTTAAAAAAAAAAAAGGAAAGAAAACTCTTTGCCTTCAATTCAATTTCTGTAAATAGACATTTGAGTGGCAAACCCACGTTTCCTCCCTTGTAGATTCTCTGCCTCTGCTGTACAGCTCCAGCTGGCTTGGGTTGTGGGGACCAGACTGTACCGTGTTTCTGTTGTGTACTGTGTGCAGAAGATGTCTTACTTTTGTCTGTAGTGTTCTATAATTTGGGTTTTGTCTCTTTGCTTACTTTTTTTGTATCTCACCCTTTGAATAAAATCAAGTGCCCTACATTGAACAAATGGAATTACTGGTCTTTAGTTAAATCCATTGAGAACAGAGGTAACCCCTGTGGAAGTTAAGGGCTGGATGTACAAAGCAGAAAACCTCAGGGCTTAACTCGGCCCTATCCTGACCAGCAAGGCTGTTTTCATATCAGAGGTTCAGCCTGTATTTCATTTCTCATGTTTCACCTGCCCTTTCCTAACTGGGATTTTTTCCTCTCTACAAGAAAGCCTGTGAAATCCCCCTAAGGCAGAACTGTTTCTGTATCTTAATTCTTATTGAATTACCTTTTTTAATCACCACAGAGACAGCTGCAGTCAGCACAGCTCATACGTGACCCGTGCTCAGTGAGTGTAACCCACATTCCACAGCTGCTGAAATTCAGCTTCTTTTCCAAGGAGGAGCCCTGTGTGGGTGAGGCTGAGTTGGGACCACGAGGGTCAGGTCAGAGCAGTGCTGGGGGCTCAGGGCTAAAACACCTGCCTGGCTTTTGAGGGAATTCCACCCTTCTCCTCTTGGATTCATTTCCTCGGGGATCTTCACCTCCAGGGCAGCAGTATCAAACTCCGGCCTTTATTTTCTTACACAAAGGCAGCAGCTCAGGCTTCTCTCAAAGACCTTCTCTATACAAGAACCAGCACTGAAAGGTCCCCGGGCTCCTCTCCAGGGCTTGGAACTTGCAGCATGGCCATGGGAGCACAGGGGAAGGTGTGAGCAGGACTCTGCACAGAAACCCTTCAAGAAACCAGAAACCAAGGGAGACTTCCAGACAGGCACAAGCATTTGGTTTGAATAAATGACATTATATTGACTGCTCCAGAATGGTGGAGAAGCAGCACCTGTTCTGTTCCTTGTCCTGGACAGGTAAAAGCTATTGCTAGTTGCAATAATATTGCTAATTGCCCTCCCCAGAAAGGCATAGCCACAGCCAGCCCGTGGGGTGAGGACACAGCAGGTGACAGAGCCACCCTCCTGTGCACAGGGAGGAGCAGAAGACACTGGGAGGCTCTTGGGAGTAGCATCCCTGACCTGGGGAGCTGTGGCTCCTGAGCCCTGGGTGCTCTCAGCAGCCCCCAAGAACCATCCCTGGGGCCAGAGCAGCATCCCCAGGGCCAGAGCAGCATCCCCAGAGCCAGAGCAGCATCCCCAGGGCCAGAGCAGCCCCTCAGCTCTCACAGCATCAGCCCCCTGAGGCTTTAAGGGCCTCAGCTTTAGTGGCAGCTGAGAGGACATCCTGGGAAACAAGGAAAAATGCTGCACAGGGATGGGAGTTCACCTCGGTGGGGTATCCTGGCCAGTTGCAGTTGAGCACTGCACAGCCCGGTGCACTCCAGGAGACGGGCAGCACTGTCCTTTGCCCAAACCCTCTGGTCCTGCTCTGGTGGCACAGCCAGACGTGGATGGACCTGCACAGCCACAGCTCCTGGACAGGCACAGCCTCCTCAGCTCCAGCCCAGCAGAAGAGCTGTTCCTGCAAGCCTGGCC